GATTATCGAGTTCGTTAGTTATACTTTAAATTAATTAGTGGTGAAATCCAGGACGCCAGTTCCATCTACTTTGGGACTAGGCGGGTGGATGTACGGCAACCTAGCGAGTGATGGCATTTAGATTGTGAATTGAGCCCAACTCCAGTCGCTTCATACGCCAAAGCATTTTCAGGTAGGCCACTGAGGCATGAAAGCCATCTCTTGTCCGAAGGGCATCAGCTGGTACTTATCAGTACTTGTAATTTCTCGTCACTATACTGCATCAAATCGGTCGACCTTCACTAGCACATGGGTTCTTGAGTGGATCCAATATCTAATATTAATAGTGCGAGCGAAGAAATCTGACAGCTTTTGTTCTCTCCTGTCTGGTTCTTAGGGCTTGTTTGAAGTTATTCAGTTTGCCTCACATCTGCGTAGTTAACCATAAATTTTTGATTTGTTTGATGGCTTGCCATAGGACCCAAGACACACCTTTTCTCTTTTTTGGGACTCGCCGGCCTGTTAGGCCCAGTGGGTGATGGTATATCCAAGCATCTGGAGCGAAGTCCATCTGCCAATAGAGACCAAGCAACTCCATCCCTTGTAACTATAATTTAGAACGGCTTCCTGACCATCTGGCGGAGCATGGAATGAACCATTGTGAAGTGACAACATTTCATAGTGTCTCAAATTGTAAGCTGTATAAGTACTCAGTGACTCAAAGGAACTCTGAAATGATTTGTTGTATACAGAAGTTGTGTCATATCCTAAGAACACATTGATGAGATTGTAGTGGCTGCATATTTTAAGGATAATCGGATTCATCTTTTTTATTTAGGCTACCACATTTATTCTGATGTGACAAAATGGGAGAAGAATGAAGTCATAGAATGGTGATATATCAAGTGTTGCTCTTAACTGCAGACATTTATATGTGCATTATTATTGAACAGATGACCTTCATAAGTCTATCAAATATTTAACAGAATCCAATTACTTGCGCTCTTAAAGTTTTCAGACAGTACATTAGTATTACCAATGTTGTAAACACTGCTACTGCATGCATCAACCAGTAGCCATAGATAATAAAATTATTAGCTTATTATGGTTTTATATGTAAGTTAGGAATCGTAAAAGGGGATTCAGTGTTTGTTAAGTGCGCATAGTTTTGCGTAGCTCCATGGAATCAAAACTCAGTGAAGGAAACTCACTCAGTTTGTGCGCTTTAGGAAAGAATGTGTCAATAATTTGACCTTTATAACACTCAGTTCTCTTTTTGGGGATCAACAGTAAGTGCAACATAAATAAGATCACCACCTTCCCTGAGAACATGCTCTAAGCCACCATTTAGAGTTAATTCAACGTCATCTTTCATAAAGGCTGTAATCTACCACCTGTTATGATAACCGCAACCCCTGCACATTCACAAAACACTAAGCTTTCATTTCTTCCGTCTCTAGCTAGGCAGTATCATGCTAACATCTCCATATGTGGCTGTTTCGTTTTAATTAATTGTAATACATTTCAAATCTTACTGATTCAACTTTCACTTTTGATTTCTAGACTACCACACCTCTTCGTTATCCAGCTCTTCGGTTTGTTAGTTATATTCTTCTAAGTACATTCTGCGCACTTACTGAGTCGCCGGCTCACCTTCTTCTCTACCTCCTTTCTCTTCCAGATTCTCGTGACCACAGCTAAACTCACACTACTCTATGCGCTCCCTGTAACGACGTACCTACCTACCTATCTACCCGCAGACTAAACGAAAACGTATCAACAGCTGGTTGTTACATTATTACATTACTACATTGGGAGATACTAAACAGGACAAATTCAGCATGTGATTTTGTCCATAGATTTTTAATCTCACTGCAGGTAATTACGTCAGATAATCTGGTTCAGGAGGACCTGAAATATATGATATTACAGGATGATGACAGTTAGTGGAAGTCGCAGTTAGACGTTTGACTGCATCTTCAGTGAATTGGATCAGTCAGGTGGTCAAACCATTGCTGCTCATGAAACTCTATCAATCAGGGTCGTTGTATAGGTTGCACATGTAGGTACAAACTATCTTCGGACACAGACTGAGCGGATATGATACCTCTCAAGAGTTGATATCATGTTTTCAAGACTCTCACCTACAACATTTCCTAACTAGACCACAGATTTTTAATTTCTCCTGATGTTCTTTTAGTCTGTTGCAGTGTTTATTTTGACTAGTCTATGCAGAACTGACATACAAGTAGGGTCTATTTGAGTTCATCAATAGTTTCGTTTATTAATCATAGAGACCTCATATTATCTTCATCTCTTCCCTTCAGGTCTAATTTGATTGGTATTTGTCCCGTATAAGATGCAGTGTACATGCGATGGCCTTATATTCATGGTCTGGGTGAATATAAGTGTTTCATAAGATTTTGATTTTGCATTTCGTCACTACAGTTAAAACTATAACACGAAAATCTAATATACGTTTCGTTTGATTAAAGCAAGTGAGATTGTTGAAAAATGACACTACAATATCACTCTCTTTATTGATATTCTATAATGCATTAATTTCCATAGTAAAATCTCATCTAATACTCATCACTTTGTAATTGTCAGTGATGAGTTTTTATCAATTTATACGAGAAACAACCATCCTAACCACCAGTTTAGAGTAGACAGTGCTAGTAATTGATTTTCCATCTTTCAAATTAGCAATGATAAAAGATAAACAAGTGGTGAGGAATGCTCAAATTTAAAGTAGGGAAATTAAATCTAACATCTTAAATACCAGCAAGTCGAAAGAAATTCTGGAGGCATATGTAAGGTTACTACAATCATTTCGAAGAAAGATTGATTGTTTATGTACATCCTCTTCGGCTTATTCACCTAATAAATCTGAGATTTGGAAGCGTATTTCTACAAAATGGGTCAAAATATAAGATAGAATAAAATTTATGATAACAATATTATTGTTCATATCGGTGTTCATACAGTGAATGTTTACGCCAACTAATGTAATTCTTATAAACTGATAGATAGAAATTGATACATTCTGTAAATAATAAACAACTGGCTTCCTAACTTTTCTACCTTTCCAAAAGTTGCTTACAAATATGTAACAAGGAATTATACTCAATGGTTTCAAGATTATTGAATACGGTAGGATCTTTTCACCAATAAGTTTCTCGCAAAAATCACTATGCTAGAGGGCGTAAATCATAGTTTTCTAAATTACGGTTGGAAATATTGTCTGGTACTTGGTATTTGGTACTTGTGTCCAAGGGTGACATACAGGAGATCGTGTGACGAAGAAATGAAAGCTTCTCGATAGTCGTGGAAGCAGCTTCAAAAGACTTCAGAGAAGAGAGTGAAGTGGTGACATGCTACTGAAGCCCTTCATTCCACTTGGGAACCCAAGGGACAAATAATAATAGTAATAACAATGGTACTTGTAAAAGTGAAATTTGTGCACTCAAATGAATATAAGCTTTCGTAGAATTCCAGATCTACATTATTTTCCACTGGAAGTCAGAAGCATGTTTGTGAATGAACGGGTTTGTAATAAATACCTTCTTTATACTTTTTAATATCAGTGAAACTAATAACGGTACCGACCTTCCATCTCAATAACCATAGTACATACTTTAAATACCATAAGTTGTAACTCTCTGTTGTTAATTGGACCGAATTGGTAGGCCATTGGCCTATATGACCTCCTCTGTGGATGTCTCGATATTGTCGGTTATTTCCGGTTCAATAGCAATAACGGATAGGGGCTAACAGTGGAATCTAGGACTCACATTCCACCATATTTATCGTTTCAATCAGTCGGTCCCGGATTTGAGTTCCAGAGGGACAAACATCATTCACTGGGAGGCAGGTATATCAAGCTGACAAGTCTCAACTAGGTAGAAACGCATGTCTTAGATAATAGTTCAGTTTAACCAATTATATCAGTACTCAACTTTATGTGACCACTTGATATGTGTTTGTATGCTTATTAGTGCAATACATTATATTTGAAGGTAATTAACAAAAATGTTTCTTCATTCACATCCTCCAAATTTCATCCAGTATATTTAAGATTTTGATGTAAAATTTGCGAAGTACAAATATATTTCCTTCGACTTATCTAAGTTGGACATTTTCTCTAAAATTCACATATGTTGAGCGTACGGGTAGCAATCCTACCGCGGAAAAAAAAAGAAAAAAATAGAAACAAACCTATTCCTCGCCGGAACCAGAGAGATGAAATGACGCCGGTTGGTGAAGGCCTTCGGAAAGCCAGTCGGCCGGTGTGTCTTCTCTCGATGAAGCGAAAGTAAGGATGGAGGACATGGAATGTCAGCACTATGTATGAATCTACTAAGGCTGCCTAGATTGTAACAGCTGCCTACGCTCATTACTGAAGATAAGATGGCCAGAAAGAATAAGCAACAGGGAACTCTGGAAACGAACCAACCAAGAACCTATCTCCTAACAAATATACAATAGAAAAAAATGGACATGGATTGGGTATACACTGAGAAAGCCGATTGGGGATATGACGCGCCAAGCCAGGTTCTCGAGTGGAATCCAAAGGGGAAACGATGAGTTGGGTGTCCCAGATGAGGGTGACATGGAGGAGATCATGTGAGGAAGAAATGAAAAGTGGTGGGCAGTCGTGGCGTCAGGTTCAAAAGACTGCAGAGAAGAGAGTGAAATGGCAGTGTTCTACTGAAATTCTACGTTCCACTAGGAACCCAAGGGAATAATAATAATGTAAGTGGTGTAGTATAGTTTGGAGTCACCATAATTCGATTAATGGATTATTCAATGAAATGAACATTTCATCAACTAATTGAAATTGAAGTGAACTGAGTAGAAAGTACTTAATTATTCCTTTCAGCTGAAAAATTGGCGTGCTTGTCTCATTAAACGATTCATAGGGGAAAAAATGGTCTGCAATTTCTTGCTCTGAAGTTACAATAAATAACAAACTTGTGAACATCACCACATTCCTTGATGTATAAATTGAACATAGAATTAACTTCAGTAGAGTCATTTCAAGTAGGAACAAGTAACTAAGTTGTTCACTAATAAATCAATCAATAGTTTTAACTCACAAAGTTTTTAATTTTAATAAAAGATCAAAGTAACTTTTTAACAATACTAAGGAATTTCTTGTATTTATCAGTTCCACAATTAGTGATAAATAAGGAGGAGAAGAAACTCAGTCTCATCATAACAGAGGTGAAATTTGAATCTCCTTAGCTAGAATTGTTATGTCACAGAGTTACGTAAATCCTTTAGTAAAAAATATAAACTATGTTAAATGATTGAAATAATCTGTTTGTCCACTGTTAATCTCTTTGAGTGACTTTAAGCGTGATAAAACATGCTGTGGTATTAAACGTTGCCTAGTACGACTTATAACAGGAGTGTACTTTGTGCTGGATATTGTCTCTAAACCAGATTTGTTTGAATAGTCTAATTTTGAGGTCTTATTTATTGCCGGTTGTTTTAAATTTGAACTTCTGGTTATATGGAATGTACTGCCATTTGTTTTACTTGACTGATATACTGGAGTAGTTGATGGCAAAAGTATTGAATAAGGTTTTAGAGAACCGTTCATAGCATTATATGTTCCGTTTGATATACACTTTGATCCAGAATATTTTATTGCCTAAAATACATATAACAAGTTACATGAAATGGTAATAACTAATTTCTATTTAGTGAGAAAAACAACAAGATGTAAATAATTAGTGATACTCAAAAGTCGTTATTATTTCCCAATTAATAACTAAATATTGTATCCTAAATAGTATAGAAAATTACACTTATAAAATGTTACTGAGACCGGAACAGGCAGGCTTCAGGAAGTACAAATCATGTGCAGACCAAATTGTAACGCTACATTACGCATCATCATAGAACACAGCATAGAATGGCAGTCAACTCCACCTCAAATTTATCGACTTCGAAGAGGCATTCGACAGCGTCGACCGACAGGCAATTTTGAAACTGCTTCAACACTACGCAATACCACAAACTTCTATCAGCCTCATTCAACAACTATATGAAGACACCACATGCCAGTCAAGTAATTCACAATGGGAAGCTCAGTGACACCTTTGAAGTGAAGAAAGGAGTAAGGCAAGGCTGCTGTCTACTACCAACCATTTTATTCCTGATTGTGGTCGACTGGATTATGCAAGAAACTCTGCAGAGCAAGAAGAGGTAGGACAGCAAAGACGGGACTTCAAGTGGACGTAGAGAAGACAGAGGTAATGAAGATACCCAAACAACAACAACAACAACAAGAAGCTCCAATCACCATCAACGAGAGAAACCTGAAGGAAATATTCTCTTTCACCGATGTAGGCAGCACTGTTTCAACTACAGTCGGCACAAGCACAGACGAGGAAGTCAAAGTCAGCCAGGATCGGAAACACAGTAAGACATGCCTTGATTAACCTGAAACCAGTGTGGAGATCTTCTCCACTGCACTCAGCATACAGCCTGAACAACATCCGAATTTTCAACACCAACTTCAGTCAAGTCAGTGTTGGTATATGTTTCAGAGACTTGACGTGTTGCGAAAAGCATTTCGAACAAACTACAGACAATCATCAATAATTGGCACCTACACTGGTTCGTTACTGATGATGAGATTATCAGAAAGAATGAGCAACAAGGAACTCTGGCTGGTTGGCTGGCTGGCGACGAGCCAATCAAGAACGTATCGCCGAACAAATGTGCAGTGGAAGGAAGTGGAGATGAATTGGATTGGGTATGCACTGAGAAGACCGACTGGGGATACCACATGCCAGGCCAGGTACTCGAGTGGAATCCAGAGGGAAAATGACGAGTTGGTCGTCTAGGAGTGACACGGAGGAGATCATGTGAGGCAGAAATGAGATGTTCTGTGCTGTTGTGGAACTAGGTTTAAAAGTTTGCAGAGCAGAGAGTGGACTGGAGACGTGCTACTAAAGTCGTATGTTCCACTGGGAACCCAAGGGACAAATAATAATAATAATAATCGTGCAAAATAGGTCAATGAAATGATGATATTAAATAGTGAAATATGGGTGAAATATGTTGTCAATGAAGTGAAAATTGGTGATAATCACGATGATGTTGATGATGAAAGAGAAGTATACCAGGGTAAAGTGAAATGAAATTGACAAAAGCAACCAAAAGTTACTTATTACGGCAAAGGTAGAGAAAGTGGTTTCACAGAACATTATTGAATGCATAGTTTCGGTTATCGTTCATCTAAACCTACTGCTTCATCTACACATAACTGGTGGAAACCCAAACCTTTGGAGTAGTTCCATTTAACTTTGTAAATTACTTTAAAGGATGAATCTTGAAGAGCTGAATGACCTAAATCTACCAGGTATTCACATATGGATGAAGTCGTTTTTCTTCGCTTGCCTTTGACAAGCCAAACTGGGTAATATTCAGCAACACATTTTCGGAAGGACCGATTACAACGTCTATTACAGCCAGCTTCACAGAAGCATGTGAATTTGTAGATACACACAGATGTAGACATAAATGGAAGCCTATACTTCACGCATTGTCGAATAAGACGACGTTTGGAGAATATCAATCTTAGTCTAAGCAGCATAGAATCTACTATTGATACAATTTGACGAACAGTTTTTCAGCACTTCAGCTGGGATATCTCCTTCGAATTCCAGATTCATGGTTAAGATTTTCTAACGAACTGTAATGGGATGGGGAGTGATTTTTTCTTCTTCAGATTCTTACCAATAAATCCTTGAGGGTATCCGTTACCTGATAGTATTGTTCTAAGTGTTTCGATTTCAACATCCACCTTGTCTTGTGAACATATTTTATAGATTCTGGAATACTACGAGTGAATGAGATTTCCTTTACAACTAAGAGGTAACCAACTAATAAAGTTAGTAAACTAGCTAGTCTAGGTTGGCTTTTCTTAGACTGACCTTTGAATCGAGTCATCATCCCTTCTGTTTAAAGTTATGTCTAGAAAGGGAAACGTTGAATTCAACTCTTCCTCTATAGTGAATTTAATGGACTGCTGAAAATCATTGAAACATCTTAGCACCTCGTCTAGTGAACATAAGAAAAGTGTCTTTTATACAAATTAAGTTCAGAGATTATTTCTTTAAGTGGCCCTTTTTAGTACAATTATCTATCATTTTGTCGAGTGTAAATATCACTGTACAACTTGATAATGAAGTCGTTGAAAAGAAATCCTACTTCTTCGTTGATATGCATGTCTTGTTCTTATTCATGAATAAATGGGTATATCTAGTCAGTTATTCAAATGACAAACAAAGAAACTTTAGTTAGAAAATTACTTACAGAATAAAATTGTAAAATCACTTTACACACGCACACCATCTCTCTATATAAATATATAACGTAATTACCTGATTATCATTAGTAATTGAATTTATCCTAGAATTATTTGTAGACTCCATTACTGTATCCAGCACACTATTTGTTCTTGTTTTAATTGGTGATCTTCTGAAATCATTTGAATGATCATAAATATCATTGAAAGTTGACTGTACTGTATCATATCGAAGGTGATTAGGATGATAATTGTACTGCAGAACACTGTTGTTATTATTATAATTATTACTGTTAGTAGTAGTAGTATTAGCAGTAGTATTGTTACTTCCATTACTGTTTGATGAGATATAACTAGCAGAAATTGATTCATCCATTGAAGGACTCTTAGATGTTCTACGTAATCTATAATCTTGAAATAAATTATTCATATCACTAGATGAATGTAATCGAATAACAGATGAACTTGAAGTCGATCCGAATGGATATGCTTTCGAAGTAAATTTATCTGAATTGGATACATTAATACTAGTAGTATTCGTTAAAATAGTAGTAGTATGAGTAATGGTAGTGGAAGGGAACATCGAAGAAGAAGAAGACACAGAATAGGCATTATTACTGACAGGGACCAATGGTCTATGCTTTATTACATAACCAGATAAAGAGGTAGGCAAAAGTGGAGCTGACGCAAATCTTCTATTCTGTAGATTCAATTATGAGAAAATATAAAATTATTGATTAGATTATTTATTAATTTTGAGGAGACGTTCATCTATAAAATAGTAAAAGATACCTTCAAGAGGTAATTCCCTAATCAAGGGATGATTACACAACTAAAGTGTGGTATTTCGAGGGGCCACTAATAGGAAGTGACCGAAAATAGAAATCATCATTCAGGGTCATTCGCCGTTGGGATAGAAATATTTTCGTTTCAGATCTTGCTTGGTCAAATTAATTTAACTGAACAATTTTGCCCTTCACGCTGATTGGTGATCTAGTGGCTTCATTTTTTGAGTAGGAGATGTATATCAATAGTATGTTTTTTAAAATGTGAACTACGATCAAGATTTGATCGTATAGTAGGGCAAATATTGGGCGGTGAGTAAAACGTTGACATTAAATATAGAATTGTTTATTATGTCACATCATCCTGGAGACAGTAAACAATGCTCTGGCTTCAAAATTACGACCGGAACAGGCTGGCTTCAGGAAGAACAAATCATGTGCGGATCAAATTACAGCCCTACACTACGCATCATCAATGAACAGAGCACAGAATGGCTGTCAACTCAACTACACTTCAACTTCATCGACTTTGAAAAGACCTTCGACACCGTCGATTAGGAAGTAATTCGGCAGGCAGCTGCTTTAACACAACGGTTTCAGTGCCACAAACTTTTATCAAACTCATTCAGCAGCTATATGAAGATGCCACATGCCAGCCAAGTAATTCACAATGGGAAGCTCAGTGACATCTTTGAAGTGAAGATAGGAGTAAGACAAGGCTGTCTACTATCACCCATGCTATTCCTGATTGTGGTGGAATGGATTATGCAACAAAACAGTGAAGAGCAAGAACATGGGCATACGCTGGACCGATGAGAAGACTCTAGAAGATTAGGATGTCGCTGACGATTTTTGCTTAGTGTCTCATAAACTCGAAGATCTATAGGCAAAAACTAACAAGTTGACAGGAGAGGTGAGGCAGAGAAGACAGGACTTCAGGTAAACGTAGAGAAAACAGAGGTGATGAAGATACCCAAACAACACTACCACCACCACCAACAACAACAACAACAAGTCCAGTCACCATGAATGGGAGAAACCTGAAGGAAGTAGCCTCTTTCACCCAACACCTACTTAGGAAGCATCGTTTCAACTGCAGATAGTGGCACAGATGAGGATGTCAAAGTCACGATCGGAAAGGCACCAAGACAGGCCTTCATTAATCTGAAATAATCAGTGTATAGATCTACTGCACTACACTCCACTCAGCATACAGCGTGAACAACATCCGGATTTTCAACACCAATTTCAGTCAAGTCAGTGCTTCTATGTGATGTTTGACGGACTTGACGCGTTGCGAGAAGGATTTTCAACAAACTACAGATATTCATCAACAACTGCCACCCACGCTCACTGGTTACTGACACTGAAGATCAGATGGCCAGAATAATAAGAGTAAGCAACAAGGAACTCTGGCTGGCTGGCTGGCGACGAACCAACCAAGAACGTATCGCCAAACAAATCTGCAGTGGAAGGAAGTGGAGATGAGTTGGATTGGGCATACACTGAGAAGACCGATTGGGAATATCACGTGCCAGGCTAGGCCGTCGAGTGGAATCCAGAGGGGAAATGACGAGTTGGACGTCTAGGGGTGATATGGAGGAGATTGTGTGTGAGGAAGAAATGAAAGCTTCTGAGCAGTTGTTGAGCCAGGTTAATGAGAAAGACTGCAGAGAAGAGAGTGGGATGGAGGCGTGTTACTGAAGGCGTATGTTACACTGGGAACCCAAGGTACAGGTGATAATAATAATTAGAAGTGTCATACACAGGGAAGAAACAGTTCATTGACTGGAGAACGGCGACTGCGACACAATTTATTGTCCATATTTAAATATCAGGTAACTTCACAACATCCAGTCAGAATTTGTATGGTCTCTATTTCTCTCTCCTTTTTTTATAGTGACAAGGGTAGTAGAATTTTCCATATATGTGGGATAGCGCAGAATCATTTCTGTTACTGCATGTATTTGGTGTGTGTTGATTCGATGAACAAAGATTTAGTCGGTTGTCAATCTCTTCCTCCCTCTACCCAACGAAGTAAGTTTTTAAAGTTGTCGCTCTATCCCACACTGCTGTGTCATTATGTGTCATAGCATGCAGATCTAAAGGTGAGCTTTTCTCTAGATTTCTTATCTTATTAGGATCTACTTATCTTGATTTAGTTAAGGTTTTTGTGCTCTGTTATTCTAATCGACTCTAACTAGTCGACTACTTTGACTTTTATGTGTTTGTAGTCAAACAGGGTCAACTCGAATAACAGAGCACAAGCATTTAGGTAAATCAAGATTAGTAGATCCTAATAAGATAAGAAATTTAGAGAAAATCTCGGATGTAGCTGTGAGTATAACTACACACAATCATACAGTAGGGTGGAATAGACCGACAGTATTAAAAACTAACTCACTTGGGTGGAGGAAGTGAGGGAGAGATTGATAACCGAATCTCTGTTCATCAAATAGACACACAGAATACATTCGGTGAAGGAAATGATCCTGCACCTGCTCTAGATATGCGGGAAAATTCTACTACCCTTGCCATCACAAAATAAGCCAGAGAAAATTAGGACTATATAAATTCTGTCGCGAAGTTGTGAAGTTACCTCATGTGATATGAATATGGACAATAAACTGAGGCCGAATAGTCGTTATCCAGTGAGTGATACTGTTCTTTCACTGTGTGTGACATTTCTAATGATAAATAGACTAAAATGGAATAGTGAATTATACGACAGTTATCTGCTTGATGATGTTTCGCATTTTAAGGGGCTTGAAAATTATCCACTGAACATACTTGCATCCCCTTGTGAATGAAAGCTTTCCAATCTCAACTCGAATCCAATACCAATTATCTCAAATACCACAATATTATGTAAATCAAATCAGGTCAGTGGTTATTTTGTTTATAATTTGACGTTATGAACACAATATAGTTACATTCAATTTCGAGAGCACTGGACAGCTGTTTCGTTCTAACATGGGACTCCCCAGCAGTGAATACCCATGACCCTGCCAACTATCGAACCCAGGAACTTCAAGAATCCATAGCCATCATGTTATCATTAAGACAGTGGATCGGGATCCAGTGATCTGTATTTCCTACTAGTGTCAGCTCATGATATGGCATGATGTCCATCTAATTCGGTCATGGAGTAATTGTCCTCAAGTCCAACTTGATTGGCCTCATCGATCACTGCTTCTCATTAGAACTTCGGGAATCACCTCTCAAAGCTTGTTACTCTCATTCAAAAATATGCAACAATTAATGCCCAAAAACCTTGTCGAAATACATTTTGGATGGAAATTAGCGTTGAAGCATTAGTTTGTATTTGAAAAGGCTGAATACAAGCTAAGGAGCCTAAGACGGGTAGTGACAGATCAAGTGGAATTGAGTGTTTTGTCTCATTTTGGAACTCATCAGTAATCCAAGTCATGATCTTATGCACAATCGAGTCTAACGTAGTCAAATCTAGCGGTGACCACTTTACTATTTAATAAACGAAACAATAAAATTGAATGGTTCCCACTTTCCAGCAATTTTTAAACTCATTATATAATTATGTTTAGTATTGATGGGCAGAGGCTAGCAGTGGAATCCAGGATGCGCATTATATAATTATTATTATTATTATTATTATTATTATTATTCTTCCCTTGGGTTCCCAGTGTAACATACGCCTTCAGTAACACGCCTCCATCCCACTCTCTTCTCTGCAGTCTTTCTCATTAACCTGGCTCAACAACTGCTCAGAAGCTTTCATTTCTTCCTCACACACAATCTCCTCCATATCACCCCTAGACGTCCAACTCGTCATTTCCCCTCTGGATTCCACTCGACGGCCTAGCCTGGCACGTGATATTCCCAATCGGTCTTCTCAGTGTATGCCCAATCCAACTCATCTCCACTTCCTTCCACTGCAGATTTGTTTGGCGATACGTTCTTGGTTGGTTCGTCGCCAGCCAGCCAGCCAGAGTTCCTTGTTGCTTACTCTTATTATTCTGGCCATCTGATCTTCAGTGTCAGTAACCAGTGAGCGTGGGTGGCAGTTGTTGATGAATATCTGTAGTTTGTTGAAAATCCTTCTCGCAACGCGTCAAGTCCGTCAAACATCACATAGAAGCACTGACTTGACTGAAATTGGTGTTGAAAATCCGGATGTTGTTCACGCTGTATGCTGAGTGGAGTGTAGTGCAGTAGATCTATACACTGATTATTCAGATTAATGAAGGCCTGTCTTGGTGCCTTTCCGATCGTGACTTTGACATCCTCATCTGTGCCACTATCTGCAGTTGAAACGATGCTTCCTAAGTAGGTGTTGGGTGAAAGAGGCTACTTCCTTCAGGTTTCTCCCATTCATGGTGACTGGGACTTGTTGTTGTTGTTGTTGGTGGTGGTGGTAGTGTTGTTTGGGTATCTTCATCACCTCTGTTTTCTCTACGTTTACCTGAAGTCCTGTCTTCTCTGCCTCACCTCTCCTGTCAACTTGTTAGCTTTTGCTTATGGATCTTCGAGTTTGCGCGATATTAGACATAAATCGTCATGGGAGAAATTCATATCTTCTTCTGGAGTCGTTTCATCGGCCACACACACTGTGCATATCTTCTCGCCTCTCATATTTTGTTACATGATCCAGTCCAAAATTTATTATATGGAGAAATAATCATAAGAACTCTGTGTTCAATAATAAACATCAATTTGGTTAATTATATCATAATCAAATTTCCAGCATAGTTTATTTCCAGTCTGCTAAATTTACTTCATTGACTATACTGTCATAAAATCAAACATTTCTACTTAATCTTGTATCATCAAAGTGCCTACTTTTCAAAGTAAACTGACGAATATACCTAACAGGCTATGCATATCAATTTAGCTAATAAAATTCAAGTAACCTGTATTAACTGGACTCTATGAGTTAATTTTTTCCGGTCACGCCATTGATGAGCTCAACCACGTACAAGCAAAATAGTCGTCCTGTGCTTAGATTACTTTGATGTGGTTAGTGAAATCAATGAAACAACGTGTACGGTTCTTAACTAATCAATTTCTTTAGTAGTAGTAGTAGTAGTAGTAGTAGTAGTAGTAGTAGTAGTAGTATATGTATGCATTGAATAAATCTTATTTTCTTTCCATCTATCCTAGATGATGTTATCCATATGTGTTACTATTTCATTTTCAATGTTCTGATCAACCAAACTGTTTGGTTACCCAATGTAAGACAAGTTTCTTTAGAAAAGTATAACGTGAGACAGGAAATCTTGAGTTTTTTTAGCATAGAATAGATAAAATCAGCAGCTCCTGGACGAACATTGGTGAATACTGTTAGCTATAGTGAGCAAGAAGGACGACCGCTTAAACTTAAATTGTGAGCACTCAACAATATAGTTTTGTTGTAAAGAATTCTCCAGAGTAAAAGTGTACAATGTAGGGGTATACTATCATGATTATTATTTGTCCTTTGGGTTCCTAGCAGAAGAAAGGACTTCAGCAGCACATCTTCAGTCCACTATATTCTCTGAAATCTTTTGAACCTGGCCCCACCACAGCCCAGAACATCTCATTTCTGCCTCACATGATCTCCTCCGTGTCACTCCTAGACGACCAACTCGTCATTTTCCCTCTGGATTCCACTCGAGTACCTGGCCTGGCATGTGGTATCCCCAGTCGGTCTTCTCAGTGCATACCCAATCCAATTCATCTCCACTTCCTTCCACTGCACATTTGTTCGGCGATACGTTCTTGATTGGCTCGTCGCCAGCCAGCCAACCAGCCAGAGTTCCTTGTTGCTCATTCTTTCTGATAATCTCATCATCAGTAACGAACCAGTGTAGGTGCCAATTATTGATGATTGTCTGTAGTTTGTTCGAAATGCTTTTCGCAACACGTCAAGTCTCTGAAACATATACCAACACTGACTTGACTGAAGTTGGTGTTGAAAATTCGGATGTTGTTCAGGCTGTATGCTGAGTGCAGTGGAGAAGATCTCCACACTGGTTTCAGGTTAATCAAGGCATGTCTTACTGTGTTTCCGATCCTGGCTGACTTTGACTTCCTCGTCTGTGCTTGTGCCGACTGTAGTTGAAACAGTGCTGCCTACATCGGTGAAAGAGAATATTTCCTTCAGGTTTCTCTCGTTGATGGTGATTGGAGCTTCTTGTTGTTGTTGTTGTTGTTTGGGTATCTTCATTACCTCTGTCTTCTCTACGTCCACTTGAAGTCGCGTCTTTGCTGTCCTACCTCTTCTTGCTCTGCAGAGTTTCTTGCATAATCCACTCGACCACAATCAGGAATAAAATGGTTGGTAGTAGACAGCAGTCTTGTCTCACTCCTGTCTTCACTTCAAAGGTGTCACTGAGCTTCCCATTGTGAATTACTTGACTGGCATGTGGTATCTTCATATAGTTGTTGAATGAGGCTGATAGAAGTTTGTGGTATTGCGTAGTGTTGAAGCAGTTTCAAAATTATCTGTCGGTCGACGCTGTCGAATGGCTCTTGGAAGTCGATAAACTTGAGGTGGAGTTGACTGCGATTTTATGCTGTGTTCTATGATGATGTGTACAGTAGCGTTACAATTTGGTCTGCACATGATTTGTACTTCCTGAAGCCTGCCTGTTCCAGGAGACTATTAGCATAGACTAAAAGATCTAAGACCTAAATCACATAGAACCTTATGGTCTTTCATCCCCCATCATACCTTGAGTCTTCTTAATCATACACGAGTGGAATAATAGTGAACTTTCGAGATTCTTTGAGGTTTTTCAGAGCTTTTTCCTACCCCTTACTATTTGATTACATCATAGAAAAGTGAAAAATCAGCTTATCAAAAGAAAAAACAAACAAACAGATCATTTCATCGATAAATAAAATATACTCAGAGTTTTTACTTTCTACATTCGGTTTACAAATTTGTTCTTTATTCAAATTAGTGGTGGTGGTGGTGGTGCTGGTGGCTTGAATTTGATTCAATGTTAAATGTCCAATGTTGACAGAGTTTTCATTCAATGTATTTGAATGATTCAATAAATTATTTGTTGATTTACTAAAATTATATTTATGATTTTTATCCATTTTAGTAAATTTAGATGTATTTTTGTTTTCAACTGAATTATTAACATTTAACCAGGTATGTAGAGGTGATTTCAATTTGATTGTTGTATTTGTTGAACAGTTTAACCATTCTGATGATGCTGAAGATGAACAATTCATTCCAAGTAGATGACTCTAAATAATGAAAGAATAAATCATAAGTAAAATATTAAAAATTATTTATTTATCAGTTGGTCAGGTGATTAATTGACTGATTCAACGGTAATGTGTAATAACTGGATACTAAGTACTGTTGAATACTTATTGTATCTCACTTTTAGATTGAATAGCACTATATACCTAAAATCCAGTATGGAAATAAGCCTGAAATGAGATATCACTTATTGTAATGGGAATTTTGTTATTCAATCACTGGTTCCCAACATTCTGGTCTATACTTTTCAACTCGTAACATTGTTGCCTAGTGTTAGTGATAGGTATCTGCTTTAATAAGGATCCATTATCTGTGTGGTCAAATTAGTACGGCAAGAGGATGATTGCTTGCGAATAAATTGAAGAGTGCATGACTGAATTTGGATACAATTTTCAAATGACCATAAACTCGTCCAAAATTTGATAGTCCCGGATTTACGGAATAATGTAAATCATTACTGAGAAAGTAGTCTCTTTCACCGATCTAGGCAGCATTGTTTCAACTACAGTCGGCACAGGCACAGACGAGGAAGTCAAAGTCAGCCAGGATCGGAAACACAGTAAGACATGCCTTGATTAACCTGAAACCAGTGTGGAGATCTTCTCCACTGCACTCAGCATACAGCCTGAACAACATCCGAATTTTCAACACCAACTTCAGTCAAGTCAGTGTTGGTATATGTTTCAGAGACTTGACGTGTTGCGAAAAGCATTTCGAACAAACTACAGACAATCATCAATAATTGGCACCTACACTGGTTCGTTACTGATGATGAGATTACCAGAAAGAATGAGCAACAAGGAACTCTGGTTGGCTGGCTGGCAACGAACCAATCAAGAACCTATTGCTCAAGAAATGTGCAGTGGAAGGAAGTGGAGATGAATTGGATTGGGTATGCACTGAGAAGACCGACTGGGTGCATCACGCGCGAGGCCGAGCACTTGAGTGGAACTCGCATGGGAAACGACGAGTTTGGTGTCCCATCTGGGGGTAACATGGAGGAGATCATATGAGGAAGAAATGAGGGGTTCTCGACAGTCGTGGGACCAGCTTCAAACGTTTGGAGAGGAGAGAGTGGACTGGAGACGTGCTACTGAAGCCGTATGTTCCACTAGGAACCCAAGGGACAAATAATAATGATATATAATTACTGAGAAGTCTTGAACAATAAAAAACCAGCTGCTGGGAGCTCTCTAGCTGTCGGCAGTTCTCAAAATATTATCACTTAATGCTAAAAATTACATCAAAGGGAGATATGTCTGAAGCATTACGTATGCATCCTATGTCCTTCGTCCGTTTTCATTACCTATCTGATTAAATGATATCAAAATGATTAGCTGTCTCTACTAGTGGTTCGCTGTTCATTGTACACCTAGATATCAACCCAGAAAATGTAATGCTTTTGGAAGGTCGGTGGTGACAAAGAGGATACATTAAAAGAAATCATTATTCAGATAGTACTTTGTAAGGACCTGTTTATTTTATGGTTCGCACTCCTGAAAAGTTTAACACGAAAAAAAATGATTTCAGATCTCCATCCTCTGTGACAAAGAAGGATTCTGATTCACCTTGACTGATTATATGCTCCTGCAACTTTTCATAACTGCCTACAACAACATCGTTACAAAAGAAAATTCAATTACCAGTCAAATTACACTGAGCGAAGAGGCGATTGCGTATATTGAACACTTCTTGACTATTCAGTCGCTTACCATAGTGTGCATAAACGAAATCAACAACATTAAATGCACCTGTGCCGAATATTAGCAATAGCATTGGGCTTTCTAATTCAACCCTCTTCAATTTCCGCTCCCAAGAACTATTGTCGTTAAGCAATGAATTGCAGGCATGGTTGTGAGTTAACAGCCACCGAGTAACCGTCCAGAAACCTTCTAAGAACTTCGCGAGCACAAACTCCCGACAAGAACATTTCATGGATGCTCTATGAAGTAAATAATGAAAACAGACAGAACTGACCTTCTTGTCACTACACCATCTATTGACCGGCATTCACTAGCCTTCAAGCAAACAAACTTAACGTAAGCTTTTCGGTCACCTTGCAGATGTGAATCTTCCAAAACGTAATATGTGTACGTCTGTTTCTCGTAATCCTTCAGGGTGACCTTCAAAGACTGTAAGCACGGAAACGCCGCGAGACAAAAACGCTCCACAAAGACTGATTCGTTTTTGGTTACACCGCTTTGAACGGTTTCCTCGCTCATCAAGAAAACGAAGCAACTCGTCCTCAGTTTGCTCCGTCTTATAGTACTTTTCGATCTCGTGCAACCAGTAACATGGGATATTTCATCGTCTATTTTAATTGGACAACAACTGACACAGGGAGTAAGGGGAAAGGGGTAGAAAATAATAATTCTGAAAAATGATTACCGTGGACCAAATGTATTTCTGAGAAATGTGTCATGTATTGTCGCAATACAACATTTTAAACAATCTGATCACACATTTACTTCATGCTAATATACATAAATGTTCTCATATATAAAACTTTAAATCAATCATTGTGGATTATTTAGTCTGTGTTAATTAAGAAATGAAGCATGTACATAGTAGATATCTAGACAATCATAATAATCATGGCAATAATAATAGTTATCTCAATGATGATAAGAACAATGGGAACCGCATGGTTATTATTGCCATGATTATTATGACTGTCTAGATATCTGCTATGTACATGCTTCATTTCCTAATTAACACAGACTAAATAATCCACCATAATTGATTTAAAGTTTTATATATGAGAAAATTTATGTATATTAGCGTAAAGCCTGATGAGAGCTAATTGAAAGTAATATTGTTCGCTTTAATGTCTTCTAATTTTGAAAATAGGAAATTTTAACACATATTTACTTCAAGTTGTTATTCATTGGAGACTGACATCAGTTGGAAGAACACAGGAAACCCGGGAGCACTGGACAGCTGTCTCGTCCTAGTATGGGACTCCTCAGCAGTGCCCACCCACAACCCTATCCCGCCAGGGATCGAACCCATGACCTTCAGGTTCCGTGGCCAGCGCGTTACCATTGAACCACTGGGTGAGAATCCAATGGTCCATATTTCCAACTTCTGTTAGCTCACGCAACCTGAAGGTCACGGGTTCCATCTGTGGCATGGTGGGGTCGTGGGTAAGCACTGCTGAGGAGTCCCATACTAGGACGAGACAGCTGTCCAGTGCTCCCAGGTTTCCTTTGTTCCTCCAACTGATGTCATTATACGGTGAATAACAACTTGAAATTCCTATGTTCCGCAAATCTATCTGACCCCAACCGGCTAGTGTGACCTATGGATTTGACTTCACAGTCATCACATGGAATCTGATAGATTGGATTATTTTGCTTATTTTGCTTGGTTCTATTGGATCCTTAGGCCAGCCGACAAAGCTTATCTCTGAGTGAGTTTTTAGGTTTAAATTCCAAGAAGGCTAGAATTAGGGTAGCATACATGTGATGATTGTGAGGTCAAGTACATAGGTCACACTAGCCGATCAGGGGCAGTTAGATTAACGGAACATTGGAGTTCAGCAAAGTAAAAGATGCCAGGTCCGAATAGAATCAGCAGTCATGACAAACACTTGCCTATTGCAATGGATACATTGACACACAACAACACAATAGAGTGAGTGAGACAAAACCACTGTACTTAAGTCCATTATAATTAGGTCGAGAGAGAGAGAGAGGTTGATTACAGAATCTTTCTTCATCAAATCAACCAACACCCAATACATGTAATAGGAATGATGCTACATCCATACAAACCAATGGTGTAGGGAAAACGTTTTACTACCACTGAGAGAAAATACACCCATTTGATCATAGGAAAAAACAAGATATGGTTTCAGCGAAGAGAAAGTCTTCTTTTCAATGAAGTCATTTACTAAGCTGTACATTCATGAATATATGTTACAGTGGGTAGAATGTTCCAAAATCGTTTCTGATCAGGGGTCAAAATATACTGAGTAACTAATAGAAGTTAATTAATACACATTTACATTTAGAGTGGGAAAATACACAGGGGATTATGAAATTAAATGTAATTATTGGGATACAGGATGAATGTATGGCAAAGTAGGAAACTGAATGAAGGGTTATGAAGATAAAATTGTGATTATATAATATCGGATAAACCTATCACAGAGGATCAAATAATTTGAGATGAAAAGATTATAAAATAAGATGTTGAGTATGGTGTGGCATGATGATGAGTAATTATTATTATTATTATTATTAGTCCCTTGGGTTCCTAGTGGAACATAGGGCTTCAGTAGCACGCCTCCAGTTAACTCTGTTCTCTGAGATCTTTTGAACCTGGTTCCACGACAGCCCACAAGCTCTCATTTCCTCCTCGCACGACCTCCTCCATGTCACCCTCGGACGTCCAACTCGTCGCTTCCCATGGAGATTCCACTCGAGTGCTTGGCCTGACGCGTGATGTCCTCAGTCAGCCTTCTCAGTGCACGGCCAATCCATCTCCACTTCCTTCCAGTGCATATTTGTTGGATGATAGGTTCTTGGTTGGTTCGTTCCCAGAGCTCCTTGTTGCTTATTCTTTCTGGCCATCTGATCTTCAGTAGCGAGCCAGCGTAAGCAGTTGTTGATGAATGTCTGTAGTTTATTGGAAATGCCTTTCGTGACGCGCCAAGTCTCTGAACCATACAGGAGCACTGACTTGACGTTGGAGATGATGAGTAATAATAATAATAATTTATGCTAGAAATATTACTGTATCAAATCAACAAATCTAATTCGTATTATCTTCATTCACCTGACCTCAACTTTTAATTGCCTATTTGTTTACATGATTCATTTTCATGTGATAAATACCTTCTATTCGCTAAACTCTCACAGTCATTACATACTACTTATAGGCTTTACTTAATATCTCCTACAAAATAACACAGAATATCACATATTTCATATCTAACCAATCAAAGTATTAATTTTGTATTTTATTCACCTGTTATGATAGCTAAGCATAAATCTGAATTCTGTTGAATTTCAACATAGCAGTCTACATATGGCTTAAATCTTTTGTTCTATTGAAAAAGCCTGGAAGACCCGCAATTCAAGTGTTTATACTTGTCATATGATAAATGAACCACTCAGTCATATTTATAAGGTCAATAAGCTTCTTCTCCCATTCATCCAGATACATGTGACGAGTGAATATACTATTACAATCCTATTGTTTGTTCTTTTACTTAAAGAATACTAACTTTTATGTATATATATTCTTGATACTAAACTATCTAAATTACTGAGACACTGTTAGGTTGGTTGACAGATTGATTCATCTATAGGAGTTCATGTATCTTTTAAGTAAATCTGTAATTACACGCTCTTCCCGACTAAAGCTTACTGAATGACTTCATGTCAGTAACCAACACAAAAACAGAACCATAGGTCTTATATAAAGAATAGATAATGGCTAGCAGTGGAATCTAGGATGCGTGTATCATGCTATTTTGAACTTGTCAGATGGATGCACCTGCCACTTAGTGATTGGTGTTGTCCACTCTAGAACTCGAATCCATGACCAGATGTCAAAGCGTTATCCAGTAAATCATTGAGTCACAACAACTTCACAAAGAATCGTAAATCTACTTGACTATTGCACAATTTAATGTTAATTTACATCTTACCCATCAATTATGTCATGGACTTGAATGAATTCATAGGATTGGCTCTAAAAACCATCCTAATCATAGCTGAAATAACTCATCTGGTTTCTTTCATTTCAGCTAGAAAAGTAGCTTCTCTGACAAAAATACTGAAACCTGATTGGTTATTTCGGTGACCTTCAGAGTAGCTCAACTTTAAAGGTCACTCCAGTAACTACTGAAATAACCAATTAAGTTTCTTTATTTCCGTTGGCTAGAGCGGATTTTCAGTTATTGTTATGGTGGGACTCTTTGAATCGCCCTTTGTAGTCATTTGTTCAAATATCTATAAGTCACTCTTTTTATGGGAATGACATTACAGGTGACCCTAGCAACTACTTAAGTAACCAACGAAGTTTCTCTGTTTAATGAAGAAACTACCTTTTCAATCGAAATGAAGACAACGTAATAATAAAGCAGTAAGTAATTGTTAGAGAGAACTCTTGTAAAATGAATCATTCTTTAGTGTGTGAATATGGGCCAAGCATATGATATTCATAATGTCCTAATGAAGATGTAATCGCAAGTAATCCCCTAAAATCAATAGCTTAGGGTTCGTCGAGATTCAACATTCATCCTGACCCTTGTAGTTTTAGGAGATTTGCATAGCTGAAGGCATATAGTCAAGCATCCAAGCCATTTGTCATGTTGTTGTGCCACGTTGCTCTGCTCAAACACGATCCCATAGACAATTAGTTAGAATGTATCAGTATTTATTTAGGTTGGGGCTATCAAATATATTATTCCATCTGATTACTCCATTGTGTTTTTACTTGGTCTCGCACTCGTAGATACATATCAAGTACACATAATTATTGATTAACCATTGTATCTATCAAGTTATCTTAAGACCAATTCCTAAAAAGGTGTAATCTTCTGATCACTTCAATAGTTGCCAGAGTGAACTTCACTGTCACATCATCATAACTTTATTGTAAAATTTAAGAAGTCAAAAGGAAGCCGATTGATGAAAGTATGAAATAAAAGTACAGAACAACAGATTACAAAACACTTTCTCAACTTTTAAAACTAACAATTATTTTTCATGGATTGTTATCATTAAACTTTCTTATTTTCCATTTTTTTGTTTGATCACATCCTTACACATTATTTCATATAACTAATAAACAAAGCAAAGAATAACTCAACTAATTTCTTTCGCCTTACTGAAACTTACTAGTCTGTTATTGACAGATGTCAGTGTTTTAACAAGTGAATTTCCACAGTCCTCAGAATTTTCTATTGAAATTTCAGATTTTTTAATTTCAATCAAAGAATCATTGCCCATACACGTGGCATTCACTAATTTTTGATATAATAAATAAAAGACAAATAGAAATTATCTTTATTTGCTGATTACTATTGAATGACTCCATGAAAAAAAATGTTGACCAATCAAAATCATCCACTTACCCAATGACCTTGAAAACGTTGAAGTTCGAGATAGACAATGTATGATGTTCGCAACACTAAGTTGGCAGATTTACAAACACTTAAACAAAAAGAGGCTTGTAGAATATAACTAACTTATTCAAAGTGATTTTTAAGTGCGCCTTCAACATTTTTAGTGAACTTAATTGTTTCAAGGTCATTTGCTGACTGTTGGTTCTAGGTCACTGTCATTTTGAATTTAGTCTGTATCCTGATTGGTTGGTACAAAACACCTTCAAATACAAAAACTGTGTTAATATTTCTCATCAACTTTACATTTTAAGTTAAAAATAATTTCATGAGATTACTAGGGGATATTACTAATGAATGTTAACAACACTGAGAACTGTGGTTTGTAAAAACAATACCTGTGAGTAATTCATCACCGAGTAATGGACTGTACTAATAGTTATCTGGGTTTGTCATATTTTAGACTGATGCTTATTCTTCAGAAATGACAAAATGAATATCAGAAAGACTCATCTCGCTTGTACGTCAAAAAGGATGGTGGTCTTTTGTCATATAATTGTGCGGTTTTATAATTTACTTCAGATACACTACTGCCGGTATCTACCAGGCTGCCATATAAGATTTATCTACTGTGAATGACGTTAGCGGTCACCTTCCGTTCAAACAGTGTGCAAAATTAGTAGTTTTAATTGAGCTCTTCATCTGTTTTAATATTATTCCAGACGATCATATCAAGCTTATAAGCAATATGCTGGATACTGAAGGTGTTCTGGTACTAAGTTATCAGGTATTTGTTTCATTGACACAGATATGAATCATCATCTTTTTACCTGGTGACTGTTACAGTGAAGTTGCTGAGAAAGTTTGTGTACAAAAGGAATCATGCTGTAAACATACTTCAGGATTTTTGTCGAAAGTGTTAGGATATGAATGAGTGGTATGTTCACGTCAAGATCAGCCTGATTTCTGCATTGCTTTCGTAGTGGACAAACAATTCTGTGAAAAAAACAAGTGATGTCATAAGTTAACAGTCTTAACGCATTCTTCCACACAAACCAGAAGATCTACAGACAAAAACCCTGAGGTTGGCAGAAGAGGCCATGCGGCGAAGATGGGACTTCAAGTGAACATAGGGAAAACAGAGGTGATGCCATTGCCCAAAGAACAACAACAATCACCACCAACGGGAGAAACCTAAAGGAAGTAGTCTCTTCCACTCACCACCTACCTAGGAAGCATCGTTTCAACTGCAGATAGTGGCACAGACCACAGTATCAAAGTCACGATCGAAAAGACACCAAGACAGGAGTTCATCAATCTGAAATAATCAGTGCACAGATCTACTGCACTACACTCCACTCAGCATACAGCGTGAACAATACCCGGATTTCAACACTAATATCAGTCAAGTCAGTGCTTCTATGTGATGGTTGAGAGACTTGGCGTGTCACCAAAAGTACTTCCAACAAACTACAGACATACATCAACAGCTGTCACTTACACTCACACAATACTCGAGATCAGATGGCCAGAATAATAAGAGTAAGCAACAAGGAACTCTGGCTGCCTGACTGGCTGGCTGGCTGGCAACGAACCAACCAACAACCTGTCGTCTAACAAATGTGGAGTAGAAGAAAAAGGAAATGGATTGGATCGGACATACACTGAGAAGGTGGTTTGTGGACCGCGCGTCAGGCCAGGCACTCGAGTGGAACTCGCATAGGAAATGAAGAGTTCGGTGTCTCATTTGAGGGTGACATAGAAGAGATTGTATGAGAAAGAAATAATAATAATAATAAAAATACACCCGTCTCAAAAATAGAAGGCTAACAGCAAATTAGATTATGCAATATGTGTTCATTCTTAGGTAAATGATAAATTGTATCGTCAGTCAGATGGTTTGGCTTAGAATCCATTTGGTGGTAACTAAGTTTCCTTCACTATCCTTCATTGGTTTCATCCGAGTTGATCTCTTCCCTCCTAAGATAATAACCTGGTTATTCGGTATAATGTTGTCAGGTCTCTGTCTCTCCTACCAACAGCCTGTTCTGCTTCACTTGCCAATTTGTGTCGTAGAATTGTCTTTTGTCTTTGTGCTCACTCTTCTTCACTTCTCTGTTCACACTAGTGTCTTATTCATAGTCTTCAGCTCCTCTTCTCGTTGTTTATCCGTGCACTGGTTCATCTTCTGCATCACCATCCTCCTCTCCCTACTCTATCAGCTTCCATATGTCCATCGAGATCCATTCCTTATCTTCTTCCTTCTTCCTTCCTAACACGGTTATGCAGGTTTCTTCCCACATAGCTTTCGAAGACCTCCAGTGTTCTTCCACTCAGCCTCCTTCAGGGATGTTGCTCAATGTCTCCCATTTTGTTCTCATAACTGACCTGAAGATGTCATTTGTAGTTTCATTCCTCAGTTCATTTTCTGTTCTGGGTGTTCAACTTCAACTGTGGTCTATCACAAACTTCCTTGAAGGCTTTCAACTTGATTTCGAAGGTAGCTTCCTTGGACCAGATAATCTGATGACAGGGGCCTACCTCTTCCACCCTTCTTGACCCGCTCTCGTGTCCAGTAGGCTGCGTCTCCACTTTCTTCACATCGAGATGAAGTCGATGTGATTTTCAGTGTAGTGTGTCCATCTCGTGAAGTCCATGTCGCTCGCTTTGTGAATAGCCTTGTGTTTGTACACACTGCCTGACTCCAATCACCAAATCGTTGAATGCGCAGAAATCTGCAAACAGTTCTCCATTCTCCTTCATCGTTTCACTGAGTGCTTCTCTACCCATGATCAGTTCTCCTCCTATGTTTTCCGCTCCCAGCAGTTTGCCATTCATATCATTCATTAGAATTTCGATGACGCCAACTGGAGTGGAATCCTGTCTAGTACTGATTGCAGTTGTCTATAGAATTCCTCCTCCTCCTCCTTCTTCTCTTCATCTGCATTATTTGTAGGTGTGTAACGTAGTGTGGCATTGTATGATTGTGACTTTCCTTCCCTTCGAGTTGAATCCATCTTGCTGTCATGATCCTGATCCTGAAGGAGGAGATTGGTTCCCACTGTATGAGAGACAGCTTTCGATGCTGTTGGGGACGTCATGATAGCCACTCCGAAACTCAGTTTGCTCGTGTTTGTCGTGTGGGTGACAATATGGAAGTAGATAATTGACTCTTCAGTTGACAGTTTTGAGATTCTACTTCCACTCCATCTGAAGATTCCTCCCAGATTCCTAGCACTTCTATGTCATCCATACCTCCTCATCTCTTTGGCATTCTGGGCAGCCTTGGCAGCCAGCTTCAAACATTGTGTGGACATTCCATTTCTTTTTGCTCACTTTTGCTTTCATAAGGAAAAGAGAATACACATCAGCCAATCGGGTTCCCGAAGTCTTTCACCAACCGGCGTCATTTCGTCCCTCCGATTCCAGCGGAGAATAAGTTTGTTTTTATTTTTTATAATTTCCTTGTGCTTTGAAATTTCTTTAGTGATTGAATTGGTTTTCTGGGGTGGGGTTGCTAGCCCTATGCGCAGCCTTTCTTCTTCATCCGATCATAGGACCGGCCAATGAACTAGTGAACTATTTATCTATGCCTGGTTCTCTGGTGGTCAGGTGATAGAGCCATTATTATCATTATTATTATTTAATAGGAAGCACCTGAAATGCAAATCAACATTTTGAAGATCATTGGTCACTAAGCTAGAAGTTTTGGATCGCAAATTTTTTTAAATGTTTCTTTGTGGTCAGGAATAATCTCATTGGACAGTTTTGTCCTGCAGCCAACCAGTCAGAGTAAGCTATTCAACGATTAACCCAGTGGTTTTACATGTTCATGAAAATCTTATGTCGAGTAAAGTGTCTTCCTTACAATCACATCTGATTTTCATGCCTCAGTGATGTTTAAGTTCCTGAAGGAGAACATATACTATTCTCATCCAGTTCAAGTGTTTTATGACGCTGCTGTCATTCGCGTATTCATTATTATTCACTCGGTCACTTCAAATTTCATTTCATTTATTCAGAAAATCACCTTAAAAAGTTTTCTTTCATAATATACTGCTGCTGAACCACTTCTACAACTAATTCATCACCGTATCAAATCGAAATTAACTAAAATAGGATTCGATCTAGAAAAGTTGAAGGTAGTCAGACTAGTATCTGGTATCAGTCTATGAATTCTTTGACCATCTGTCTCAGTTTTGCTGTCTTACTGTAGTCATCAAGGTGATATTTCGATGCCGTTGGTAATATGGCTAAAACGTGACCACAGTGACAGATTTATGCACTCTTTGTCATCTTCGAATGCTTGAACATTCTCATTGTTCTCTAACTGTCTGTTCTCTCTCCTCCTACATTATTTCGTCCAGTCCAGGATCATTCTCTATGGATGCAGTTATTCTTTGTGTGCTCTTGTGAAATGAGATAACTTGACCTGAAATATTTTTGTCTCAGGTTTTCTATTAGAAGGTGTTTGGATTATTTCACAGTTTTCAAGTGTATTCATGCTTATTTTATATGATATTATCAAGTTTGTTGATTTGTCTGCGGCTGATGAGAACGCTTATGTCGAGTCCTTCAGACAGTAAATCTGATGATATTTACTTTATCTAGACTTATTCAAGAAAATCAATTATCGAATACTTAGATTCTACTCTAACTTACAGGACAGGTAAGATTTGTGACACAGATTAGTCAAGTTTTTACCAGAGATTATGAAGATTATAATACCCTGTAATAAAGAGCCGAACTAATAAATGTCTCAGTAATCTACAAGTCAACATGTTCCGTGCGGTTTCATAGTGAGTGAAATTAGGGGCAATGTCACAGAACTTTATTTTGGTGAGCCTTTGACGATTTATTCTGATAAAAGTAGCTAATTAATGCAAACGGTAATTCTAATGTTAACATCGCCTGAAAGCCACAGTCCGGTATTAAACAATTCACTAACTACAGATGAACTAGGATAAACTAATGTATTCGTTACGGAACCTAAAGGTGCTGGGTTTGATCCTTATCGGGTCGGGGTCGTGGGTGTGCACTGCTAAGAAGTCCTAGACTACGACGAAACGTGTATCCATTGCTGACAGGTTTTCAACGGGTGCTTCAATTGATGTCAGTCCATGATGAATTTCAACCTGAAATCAATTAGTAAATCTCCATAAACTTCCAAATTTAATCATCAAGAAGCCTACGATTCCGAGAGATTAAGTTAGATAGACATCTAATAATGAGAGAACTCAGTTTTTTAGCAGACGTTTAAGAGAATTAATGATCAGACTATTAGAAATAACTATGGTTTACCATACTGATATTTTTCATATGCAGCACGACTAAAGGTGAAATGAAAGCCTGAATCGTAAGAGGATTCGAACAGATGGCTTTCGGGTTAGCAGCCCAGCTGCGAACTACTTCTTCACTTCTGAATAAGCACGATTTGGATTAAAACTAGAAGGCATAATTGCTGAACTAAAGTGGTTACAATGAACAAACAGTTACGTGTGATGCATCCATATGACAGTTGAGTAAAACGCATAGAGATTGAAGTGACGATGTGGTACGGATTTAAGTCTCATATCTCAGTCGGTAGACCGCCTTTCTGAAAAATCATAGGCTGTTGACTTGAATCTTGATACAAACTAGAATTTAATTTCACCTTCATTCATCATCCTGTATCGGAACAGGACAAATGATGTAGACAGGTAGAGACAACCATTAAAACTGGAAATTTAGACAACCGCAGTCAAGATTCACTGAAGTACTGAGTAACTGTAGAAGTTTTTAATACTCCACCTCGTTTAAAAATGGTTAAGTGTCAATGAATTTCTAATTAACTTCAAGAAATGGTTATCAACAGGATACACTTCAGAAGAATCACCTCAGCCTTCACAACGAATCACTTCAACATAAACTAATGATCTCTCAGAGACTGTCGACCAACTACTTAGCCCATTTAGTATCATTGTAGCACATAAAATAAGTAAATCCCTGTAAAGGACTCATTACTAAACGACGTCAGGAGGAATATAATCTACAAAATCAGTTGCAAAGAATGTCATTGACATTATGTTGATCACCTCAATTGTAGAATAGCTCAAGGAATTTATGTGTAACAACAATCAGTCGATACTTTTAACTTCCTACTGCTACACAAGGTGGAATTGCTCAACGCCTGTTAGCTTATAGGCTTCTGCCTGAATGTCTTGATACTGCCTACTCACTCATTATGTTGATATCTGCTTGGTGGCTAGCAGCAGAATCCAGACACTCGTTTCATCGTCATCTGGGTGTGCTTGCACCCTAGTAAGTGAGACTGGGACACAGTAACCATAACAATGGGAGAATACGAATACCAAAAGCAACAACTGATACCTGTTGCATAAAAGGTGGCTTTCGTGCCCCAGTTGCCTGGGCGGGAACCCTTTGGCGTTCGAAGCGATGGATACTGGGTTTTAATCTCAGTGGGGTGTAAGCATATCGAACTGATGAGTTGTAAATAGCCACTAAGCAGACTTCAACGTGGTATATCATTATTGACATTGACGCATGTAGATGAACTAGGCCATAACTTCGATTGGGACAGCGTAGAAGCTGATTAACTAAGAAAGAATTCCTGCAGGTATGTTAATTCAATCAAACTGCAATCAACAGACACATGGGTATTAACTCAATAGGTTAAGCAACAAAAATGAGATCAGCCAATAGGGACCTGATCAAGCAATAGGAAACCAAAAGTATCAACGAACAACAACGGAAACCCGTTGCAAAACACATGACTCTCTTGCTACCGCTGCGTAGTGCATAATGCTTTGGCGGTTGGGACGATGTGTGCAAGGTTTCAATCTCAGTGGAAACAATATAGCTCACCAGGGTGCGGATATTAGTTGGTTGGAGGCAATCGGCAGGAAGCCCCGATCGACCTAGGTTTCGTAACTGCTGGCACTCGTCAGCAACGCGAATCCGCAACCTCGACGGAACTGATGTCCCGCCTAAGATTACAAACCTCGTCACTCAGTGTTGTAGTCAGCGACTTTACCACATTGCAAATATGATCGATAGAATTCAGTCTGCACTCAGGACTAGATAACATGAAGTTGGTTGCACTCTTGTGACCAATCTATACAGAGTGTGGATATATCCAACTGATGAATCCCACATAGTACAAAACATGAATCTTGAATTCCACTACTACCCACCGAGTAGACTTAAAAACTTCAAATCTGATTTTATAAATCTTTAGCAAATATGGTGATTGAAACTTAACAAAGACGTCTGTAATGAGCAGTCCTATTCCTGCATAGACTTTCATTAAGACATCCACATTATGAGCAACAAAAGATAAAAGTATTTTCCAAGTTAATAATTTGAAAGAGAAAAAGAAATTACTGTGTTCACTTGAACTCTTCAGTGATTGTTGTTGTGGCTGCTGTTGTTGTTGATGATGAGATGGATACTGATAATCATTACAGGAATGATGAGACGATGAGTTGTGTTGTTGTTGTTGTTGTTGTTGTACAACTTTAGAGTTTCCATGATCAAATTTATTCTTAACTGTTGGTAGATTTGATGAAGAAAATGATTTCCTAAATGAAATATTCATTTTATTAATTAAATGAGATTTCCATGGACTATTTAAATTGTGATGATTATCATTATCAATAGTTTTATTACTATTAACTGTATGATAAATTTGTTCATTTATTGATTTATTCATCTCAGAATTAAGATTATTCAAAACAGTTTCACTTAAATTCTATAGAATAGAAAAGAAAAAAATTATTGAAGATAAAATTTTTATGGGTTAATTTTATGAAAACTGTAACAAAAATGATTCATAGAATCAATCTATTGTTAAGACTAGCAATCTAACTGTTGACTGTCAACACAAACAAACTATAAATCAACCAAAGACTGGAGACTCTAGTTGACCATGTGTAGCTGAGAACTGATGTCAATGATGCAGATGTATATACACATCCATTATCCTCATCTTAACGACGTTATATATCGAACCTCACCATTTTCTCATTCTTCCTTTCTCTCTTTTCATACTTTATATTTCTTTTGCACCTCACTGCCTTTTTTACTTGATGTACTGATATGAGGTGTGGCAAGTTGGACGGTTACGCAGTAATGCCTAGTCCTAGGTTGATCTAGATGGATGAATGAATGACTGTCAACAGCTTCAATAAATCATATCCGTCTATGGGAAGTGAACAACTCGATTTCATTGTATACAAGAGGAAACATAAAGTATTGGCAAAAAGAGATGAAATCATATTTATTGGTTATTCCACCCCCACCCCACACCTGGATCAAAAGACGAGTCTTCCAACCCAGTTGGTTTAGCAACGAGCCATTAACCCCGATGGTTGCTGGTTTGAATCCTACCGTGACCTGAATTTTTATTTTACCTTAAATCACCACCTAGTGTCAACAATACTAGTCTGCCGAACTGTGGCTATCTCAGTTAGTCAAACTAATAGCTAATTTTTTCATAGATATTCTTATGGAGGTCTTCCTCTCGTCACCTGACTACACAAATGTGGACTTAATCACAGGAGAATTTTCATTGGACCTAGAATATGCAGGTGATATAGTCCTGTTAGGTGAAAATGCTGACAAGATGCAGAGTCTTCTGAACACTTTGAGTGGCAACTTGAGAATGTTTGGGATGCGTTTCTTACCACCCTAATGCAAATTGTTGCTCCATGATTGGTCTTCAGTGGTGCCATGGTTAGCAATAGTGTAATGATTGAGTGTGTCAACCATTTCACTTACCTGGGAAGTAGGATGAGCCCTGGTGGCTCAATGGCTGATAAAACCTCTGCGCGAGTGCAAAAGGCTCCGAGGGCTTTTGTCAACTTACACCACCTATGGCACCACCATAATATCCAATTGTCTATTAAGGGTCACGTGTGCTGCACACTCCGCTCTTTACTACCCTATGGCTGAGAAACATGGCCATTGAAGGTGGAAAACATAAAAAGTCTGTCTTCAGGTGTTTGACCACCGTTGCCTTCGTAGTACAGGCCATACTCCATGGTGTCACCACTTGAGTAACACAGAAGTCATGCTCAGGTGTAAAGTTTTAAGTGAAGAGGTAAGTAAGTTGACGAGGTTACGAACCTTCACAGACTGGAGTGGTTGGGACACGTATTACGCATGCCTAGTCACCGATTGCTTCGTCACACAATGTTGGTCGAAGTGGTTCAGGCTGGAAAAACGTACAAGGTGGATAGACTAAAACAAGGCACCAATGCATGAAGTCTTTGACTGTTGGTTTGGGCCATAGGGGGCGATGTAGACTAGTTCGTCGGGGTACGCGACACAAGAGAAATCAGTGGTTGGAGACTCTAGGGTATATGGCTCAGAATCGATGTCAGTGGTGCAGATGTATGCACAAATTATCCTCATCTTAATGACGCTATACTGAATCTCAACACTTTTTCATTCTTCCTTTCTCTCTTTTCGTACTTTATATTTGTTTTGACTGCATTCTCTTATCTTCATGTTGCACCTCACTGCCTTTTTACTTGATGTACTGATATGAGATGTGGCAAGTTGGACGGTTACGCAGTAACGCCTGGTCCTATGTTGATATTGATGATGATGATGATGATAAGCATATCGGGAAACATCTTGAAAATTCTTTGAACAATGATAGTAATTTAATGGGAACTTCTGTGAAAAAATCAGGATTTAATGATTTCATATATTCCAGTAGTACTTATCAGCTGGATACTCTACTTACTTGACCATATACACCGTTAAACAATGAAAAAGAATATGCGTACACAGATATACATATATAACCTAGACTGAGACATCGAATTAGGCGTAACAAAATAGAAAGCAGCAATTCTCTTCATTATCACTAAAAGGGTACTGTGACAATCAGGGAAAGACAAAGCTGTGATCCCTGACACATCTAAGTGCATATACCATTTTGAATGTAACCAAGGAAGCAACAAAAAAAACATTGGTTGTAAGGAGAGGTGTATGTCTACCCGAATAGTTGAAGGATGCCAAGAAGAAGACCCCGATGAGCTCGATAATGAAACGCCTAATGGTTATGGACACGATATTGATACCTATAAATCCTTTACAGTTGTCAATAGACAGCAAAATAACAAATTTCCTGCAACTGCAGAAGTCTACTTGATTCGGGTCGTCAAACCAAACCTCTGGATTCAGAAAGAAATGGTAATCAGCTAGAATCTGCAATGGTAGGAGTTAAAGCGTCTTCTAGTCATATTCAATCATTTTACTTGCTCTTTGCTCTTAATTATCACCCATCTTGCACTTTTGTTTTCCTTCCTTGATTTGTTTCGCCAAGTTAACCTTATTCTTATCACTATTGTTATCCTTATTTATCATCTCAATATACACCTGATTTTCTTATTATGTCTGCATAAGTAATATAAAGTATCTTGTTGTTGAATAGCGTGATCTAAGCTCAAACAACTCAGTTCTTACCCGTGTGTCAACATTATTATTGATATACTTGTAATTGTCCATTGTTTCATTGGATCGAATTGTTCAACCCCTATTGGTATATGGGCTCCTATGCGGAGGCCCTGTTATTACCTGGATGTTAATTATGGTAATTTGATTGGTTGTGGCTAGCAGAAGAATCCATGATATAGTGGAATACACCTTGGCGTTTGAAGAGATGGGTACGAGGTTCCAGTTTCAGTGAGAACAACGTCACTCACTGGGATACAAGTACATCCAGCTGACCAACCTCAGATTATAATTCAAAAACGATTTAAGTGAACAAGGAATGTTCTTATTGACAACTTCTCCTTCATGTCTTACAGTTACGTATACATACTGAGGAACTATGCGTCAATAATATTAAGATTTCACTTATTAGGTTGTTAATAGTATTATACAATTGACGGAGTCAATTCATAAAAGTCTTGTGTGAACGTCAATGACAGAATTCAGTTCAAAATGACTGGTTATCTAGACGGTGATACAGCGTAGGTAATACTACAAAGGGGTAGTTTGACTTTCTAAAATACGCCATAATTCTAGAAATTTGATTTTTCATGTTCACGAACACCTCCTAAAGTGGTTAAGTAAAGGTGTAGTGAAGACCATTACCAGCTCCATATAAACACACTTAGTTGAAACGAACCAGAAATTGGACATGAACTAGTCGTCTTCTATCAGCTTACAAAAAGGTAACCGGTTTCCAATCCTTCTGACTACAAAAGCAGTGCCAATCATTCTCAAACAACCAGAGCTATGTTGTGTTCAGGAAGCAAGTGTTACTGTTACAGCTACAGTAGGGCGATTGGGGTTGCACAAATTCCTTTCTAATTCCTTACTGTAAACACCTTTTCATCCCTATAATCTGGAATACCTTTACTACATTCTCTTAATCTATTTTCCAACCCAACATAAGTAACATTCTATCAAGATATTATCCTTTAAATTATCTTTCTTAGTTTATTTCATCCAACTCTCATGAACACCTTCGTGTTGTTAATTCAATTATCACCTTTTAGTAATCATTACCTACGCCATATATTCGTTTAAATAATCACTTTTTTGAATTGAATCATAGTAAATAATCGGTTCCATTATTAACGTTCACATAAGACTTCCGTGAATTGACCCCTCCAACTGTACAGTATTAGTAACAACATAATAAGTGAAATCTCTATGCCGCCGAAGCATAATTCCTGAATATCCACATATAACTGTAGGATACGAAGACAAAGTTGTCGAGAAGTATATATATATATATATATATATATATATATATATATATATATATATATATATATATATATATATATATATATATATGGATTTTCGCATTCATGGGACTTGTTGTAGTACTGAACGTGTTGACTGATACGGCACTGATACGTCTACCATCAGTAATCCCCCAAGAGGTAAGTGTTATCTCAATATAATGACAGATGATATTTAAGACAGTGAAGGTAATTTCTGAGTTGACGATAATAAGGGTGAGGATTATATGGTTTTGTAATAAAAATAGTTGTAGTATGTTAGTATGAATACTGATAATGGTAGGATTATGTAAATATTTGTTCAGATACTGTTGCATAATACTTGAGAATAAAGACGATGAATAAATGAAGTTTCAATGTGAAGGTACTAGAGTAATGGGTGCTTTTGATAAGAATGAAAATAAGTAGGATATGTTGACAGAAATCGTAGACAATTACGAGCGATACGTAAATATTCCAGCGTATTTCATAATCAACTTCATGATGTTTGGCGCTTCTGGAAGTGATGCTCCTGATGCCTCAGTCTCTGCTACCTCATTGTTTTCCTGCGTGGTGAACGACCCTTACTTTGTCATAACTATGCCTGTTCTCGAGTTAATAATTGCACCCACTTCTCTCAAAAATCAGCACCCAGAAGTGTCCGTTGTAAACGCGTGGTAACAATGAATGGGAATCTAATTCTACGACTTCCAATCTTGATGACATAATCTGATAAACTTACGATTTCCAACGCATATCCACCAACCGCGTGGACTGTTAGCGGACATGATCTTTTGTTCTGAGACTGACTCTTTTCTATCAGCGAGACTTCCACCCACGTATTTATTAGACACACGATCTCACGACCAGTTATTGACATTCTAGCATACACAGCACCTTTGTCTATGGCTCCTACAACATCTAGTCTAGTCGAAAAAACAGAACTCTTATTACCGTTCAAAACGTTTTCTTTCTTGCCTTTCCGGATAGTTTCTTCTCCAGAGTCCCAGCTTTCCGCATACAAATCATTTACTCTGTCTTCTGGTATTCATTCAAAGTGCGTTCACCTCCTTCTGAAGGTTATCGATTTGTTTTTTCCAGTTATTTACCTCTGGTGACTCCACAGCAGCTATTGCGGTACTCATTAGCTGTCTGGTCACCTTCATCAGCTGATTAACATTCATGGGTCGGGCTTCGTTCACTAGTCGTAGCTACTGGAAGATGGCATTCGGGACACTTTCGGTGAACTATGCAACCAGCAACTGTGCCTGGTAGTCCGCATCCAAATTGGAAAGTCCTAGTCGAAGTAGTCTTGTCAACTTCACACCCAATACCAGAAGATCTTCGTCTCTACCAAGTTTCGTACTCCGGAACTGCTGCATCGCCAGATCACTGTCCGTTAGGCTATTAAACTCCAAATTCAGTCGTCTAACCGTCCTCTCCCGAATCTCCGAATCCACGCGTTCCAAGCCGTCACATGCCGCTTTTGCCGGACCCTTCAGAAACGTGCCACTTACGATGACCTTCGCTCCTGGATCCCGGACACCCACCAGGTTTGCAACAGATTCAAATTCCCTGAGGAAGATCTTAGTGTCTTTATTCTAGAAAGCTACAGGCCATGAAATCTTCATCATGTCCAGAACTAGTGACACCAATTTTAAGAAACAACAAAGACAGACGAACGAAGGAATGCTGATTATAACATTTTGTACAGCAGTAAAGCAATATTGTACAACTTCCATTAAAATAGTCATTTGCACAATCTGTTTCATTTTCTCTTCTACTATCTCGATTTTCTCTTCATACGCCTACATTGTCTCTTGCGTCTCTCTAGACAGAATGTTCACCCATCGCTCGTAACTGTCTACGATTTCTGCCGACTTTTCAACACATACTATTTATATCTATCCTAATCAGTAGCATCCACTACACTAGGAGCGTGAAAGATGTGGTAAACATAAGAATATAAAGAGGGAGATGAGCATTTAAAAAATCCCTCACCAAGACAGTAATGTAGGCTGCAGAAATTTCTTTAGAATATAAAGCTTAAAATTTTTCATCAGAATCCCTATATACTCAGATACATGTAAGAGGCAAGTTCAAACTCTATCTGAAAGGTTCAGTGGGATGCAGTAAATCATTTTGCATGCCTTGGTTATGCCTACTATTTGACCACTTTCAGCTAGATGGAATGAGAAAGAACGTCTTATGGATTACACTTTTGTTTTTTGTCAGCCATAAAGCTAGGTGTTTGTAAGTATGTTGCTTAAGTTGCCTAGTTATCCTCTGAGTATAGTTGTCTCTACAGGAGCAATTCGATTGATGGAAGCGGTGAAACTTGAAGCAAAACGATTCGTCGGCTACAAAGTGATTGACAGAGCTTATCTGCATATACATTTCTTCTAGTGGTCCTCAACAGTTTCTGGAATAGGATCTCTCCAAGTAAATCCTGATTAAGCTATGGCTTCATCAATAATAGTCTTTATCGAACAGTTCCTCCCTAAAGCTTTCTACTCAATCTGTTTATATGCCTTTTCTAAAAAATCAGATCATAGGGATAACTTGTTTTATTGTTATAACTTGCCTGGTGATGACTAGTAGCGGAATCTGCCACGCACGTTTCGTCCTATCTGTGGCTCACCAGCTGGATACACCTACACCCCAGTGAATGAAATTGTTCCCACCGGAACTCGAACCTAACAACGATTACTTGCAATGCCAGAGAGGCATCCGTTAGGTCCCAGAAGTACCACCAAAAAAATTATAGCAATGAATTAAGACAATATCGTTGGGTTCATATACCAACAGACTTAGATCAATTCGATCCAGTAATATAATAGGGAATTACAAGTATCGATAAATAACAATTCGAAGTTTACTCTAATTCACTTTGTAATGTATCATCAGAGTAGATTTTCATTAACGTGGTTGTCAAATATTTCCTTTACCCTATATAGTTATCAAACTAAGAAAGCATATGTATTCACATATTAGTTTGCTTATTTCTTTCTTATTTCCTCCATTATTATTATTATTAGTCCCTTAGGTTCCTAGTGGAACATAAGGCTTCAGTAGCACATCTCCAATGAACTCTGTTCTCTGAAATCTTTTGAACATGGCTCCACGACAGCCCACAAGCTCTCATTTCCTCCTCATACGACCTCCTCCATGTCACCCTCACCTCGGACGTCCAACTCGTCGCTTCCCATGGGGATTCCACTCGAGTGCTTGGCCTGACGCGTGATGTCCTCAGTCGGCTTTCTCAGCGTATGCCCAATGCATCTCCACTTCCTTCCAGTGCATATTTGTTGGGTGATAGGTTCTTGGTTGGTTCGTTCCCAGAGTTCCTTGTTGCTTGTTCTTATTATTCTGGCCATCTCATCTTCAGTAGCGAGCCAGCGTAAGCAGTTGTTGATGAATGTCTGTAGTTTGTTGGAAATCCCTTTCGTAACACGCCAAGGCTCTCAACCATATATCAGCACTGACTTGATATTATTGTTGAAAATCCGCATCTTGTTCCACATGCTGAGTGCAGAAGATCTCCACACTGGTTTCAGGCTAATGAACACCTGTCTTGCTTTTCCGATCCTAGCTTGCTTTGACTTCCTCGTCTGTGCCACCTGTAGTTGAAACAGTGCTTCCTAGATAGGTGAAGGAGGTTACTTCCTTTAAGTTTCTCCCATTGATGGTGGTTGCAGTTTGTTGTTGTTGTTGGAGTTGTTGGTGCGGTATCTTCATCACCTCTGTCTTCTCTATATTCACTTGAAGTCCCGTCTTCCTCCTCTGTCCTGCCTCCTCTGTCAACTTGTTAGTTTCTGCCTGTTGATCTTCAAGTTTATGTGACATCAGGCACAATTCATCGGCGAAATCCAGATCTTCTAGGTTCTTTTCTACGGTCCAGCGTATCCCTCTCTTCTCGCTCCCCACTGTTTGCTGCATGATCCTGTTGACCACAATCAGGAATATCATGGGGGATAGTAGGCAACCTTGTTTCACTCCTGTCTTCCCTCTATACTCACACTCAAATTTCAAAGAGAATAGTCAATTTCCAAATGATTCACAAATTGCACTGTCCACTTTGACACTTCTCACAGCTGAATAGTTGATTTTTCAACTGCGATGTCACCAAGATTTCTCGCTGAAAACCACTCAACCGTGATCACAAGGTGTGATCTCTGACACAAAAATATCATGAACTAGCTATTCAGATTCTAGTCAGCTGAATTAGTCATGGGCACACCGCTGATGAGCTTAGCCACAAATGAGCGAAATGGCCATCTGTTGCCTAGATGACTTTGATATAACCGGCTAAATGATAAGGATTAGCTTGAGTAGTATCTAAGCTCCTACATACTTTACCTGTCTGCAGAACTGTTCACATTATCTTACCATTCTCAGTATTCATAACATCATTTATACTGTCGATAGTTTTATTATTCAATAGACGATATTGAATAGTAGTTTAAATAAATAGAGTATTAATGATGGAGTATTTCTGAAACTCCGTCACCTACCTGCATACTTCGTAAGTTACTTGGTGTAGTACTTCGTTGAATATTATCACTGGATACTTTTTCATTGAATCCATTGATAGGATAGTAATCTGTTGTAGAGATACACATTCTCGATTCCTTGTTAAATATTGAATGATTGTAGTCAGTATTACTGATAGCATAATCTGTTGTTGTTGTTGTTGTTTGTTCCGTTGTTGGTTTTATCACTTCTGAGGGCTTTATCAATGTTTGTTCATTAAATTCTTCCACATGTTCACAACAAGATTCATTATTGTTGTGTACACTTACAAAGATAAAGATAATTTTTTTTAAAAAAAACACAATTTCAGATATATTCGTCAACTGATAGATTAAAACGAAACTAAAATATGAGGCTTTTATAACACAAATAGAACAGAATGCCAGTCATAGCTTTCCGTGAAAACTTTTATGAACTTCTGAAGTTAATGACTATGATACATTTGAATTTTGAGCGAGTCGTGGGGATTTGGGAATATTTCAAGTTGTTATTCATTGGAGACTGACATCAGTTAGAAGAACAAAAGAACCCTGGAGGCACTGGACAGCTGTTTCGTACTATCATGGGACTCCTCAGCAGTGCGCACCCACAACTCCGCCATGCCAGGGATCGAACCCGTGACCCTCAGGTTCTGTGGTCAGTACCCTACCACTGAACCACTGGGTCAGAATTTAGTGGTCCATATTTCCAACTTCTGTTAGCTCATGATATGGCGCAACCGTCACTCAACGTCATCGTTGAGTAACTGTCCTCGAGAACATCAGGCTTTGCTGGCCATGGAACCTGAAGGTCGCGAGTTCAATCCCCGGCATGACGGAGTCGTGGGTGCGCACTGCTAAAAGGTCCAATACTAGGACGAAACAGCTTTCCACTGCTCCCAGGTTTCCTTTGTTCCTCCAATTGATGTCAGTCTACGATGAATAACAACTTGAATTATGATACATTTGTGAAGTTAAACCAATTTGAATGCGTAAAGGCACCTCTGAACCACCTAGTTGTATAATATACTATGCCAAAGAGAAAGTTTCAGAACACATAAACATCTTTATCTATTCAAACTTCAATTAGTTCACAAATATGAGAAATGAAACGACTTTCTTTGAATATCTTTACAAACAAACAGATTGGTTATCGATGAATCACTGATGTAGTGCTTCATACTAACTACAAATTCGGCCGGTAGACTTTGGCCAGTACTGAACACACGGAAATGAATACCACCTGTTTCCCGTTCTATAGAGAGTTATTCTTAGTCTGAGTGCCTGGTTAATTAGGTTTTTGGCTTTAGAACTGAATGAGACAGGTTAACTAGAAATCGCCAGTTTTTTTATGATTGCAGGTGTTCCTTACCGATGACTGCCAGAAAGTATGAAACCTACGTCTACTACTTCCTGTTGACCGATTTCTAACACCTAACTCCCTTGGAATGATAATCCCTTCAGTGCATGCTAGGTATACTATCATTTGTAGACGTCATTCTCTCACAGTGTAATCGATCAAACTTGTCTGAGTCCAAAGAAGTCATGATTAAATATTTGTTACTCATTGTAACTGAAAATAGCTGACTTTTTGACTGACACAGTTTGGAGATGCTTTCTTAATGTTTTGAAAAGTACTTCCTGTTTTCTTCTTCATTTTTACAACTCCTTTACAATTTTCTTATTCTAAACACGTGTATACACGGAGTGTTGTAATCATAGTTGATAAGTCTACAAACTGCTTCTTTCCACCTTATTGATCTATTCAAAAAGTGTTGGAAAAACAAATCGATATTTGGTATTCAGAGTATATTGTTTATTTACTTGCTATCTCTAACAATTATTGTCTACCAACCACAAAATTTGAGCAGAAATCTGTGTATGTTTAGCACGTGTTTCTCACCTGTAAAATGTAAGATGATGCTCCAAGACTGGTCTGCGATCACTCGCAATTTAATGATAGGGAATGAAGCGATGGAATGTGTCGATCACTTCAATTACTTAGAGCGTTGCTTCAGCTTTAAAGGGTTGGTTGTTGACCGAATCTCTGCTGATAGAGAAGGCCCGTTTGGCACTTATCAACTTGAGTAACCTGTGACTCAAGCTGGTAAGATATCTCGCTGTTTATGAAAGGACGAGTATACTGTGCTATAGTCCTTTCTGTCTTTTTATACGGTTGCGACATAACCGTTAAAAGTAGACGACAAGTGTTTGATCATTGGAGTCTTTGTGGCATTGCTCACGTTTGGTGGAGTCACAGCTTAAGCACTGTTAAGGTCAGGTGAAAGGTACTAGGCAAGATAGGTATGTCAATTGACGGCGCTGTGAACCTCAGTCAACTGAGATGGCTTGGACATATATTGTGCATACCGAGTCACCACCTACCTAAACGTGCCATGCTACAGGAAGTTGGATCATTTTGTAAGAGAGTTCTGAGTGGCCAGACCAAGACCTGGCATGGACTTATGATCTCCCTGACTGTTGGTCTGAGCATTGTGGGGAGATGTAGACTTCATGATTGGGTTGGGGAAATTCAGGAACTTTGGGGAGATAGGCGGACAACAAGGAGATAGCAGCGTATGAACTGACTTATCACTGGAGAGTAATCAATCTGAGTGTTATTGATTATTTTTTAACTTGACCACCAAGCTAGGAGGCTTATCAACTTGGTGCACTTTGATGGGTGTTACCTGGTTGAAACCAATCAACAGGATGCGTTGAACTAAGGTTTCACACTAATTGGCACTCGTTAGCAAGGCATGTCTGTAACCTCGAAAAGTATAAAAGTATGGGTTATTAAAGAGCTAGCAAGTTACGTAATTATCTGCATCATCTCTTCATTACCTACTTACTCACTGTTAATCACTCAGTTTAGCATGTTTTCAGTTTCTCATATAATTGTATAACATATGAGTTCTTTAACAGCCCCTTCTTTTACATTCCTGTTTATCTGTTGTCTCTCCTCGCACCTTTCCATAGCCACCAGAATATTTTATCTCATCAGATGTAAACTGCCATTGATATGGACAAAGATTTGTGATTATTAAACTTATTTTTCCTCAACTCACTACTTTCCTGTTAATCCTGGCTTTCAAATCTTCATTTATTTCTATATATTATGCCATTACTGCCAATATTATTTCATTCTAACTGTAGGCTGTTCACAGATTATGAAGGACTGTGAAATAAAATGAGTTAATGTTATTCTGAAAACGTCTTCATGCCTGCTGTGTTCATACGGAGATTACGTAATTAGTGTGTAGGAGGGCTCATCTATTAATCTGTAATCCTTCTTCAAAGATTCATGAATAATAGCTGTTTTTAACATTTTAGGAAAGAACAGTCTTCTTGTAAATCATATTTATCAGTAAGAAGGATATAAATACATAGGTCAAACAACACTAAACAGGAATAATATCTTTTAGTAGTCACTAACACAAAGTGAGTCTTAATGTTGGAAGCGATGACGTTGACTAGTTTGTTAGGATAGATTTGATGAAATGTAATTGGTCATTAAATCAATCATTGTGAGTACACATAAAATTGTGTCTATTTATCTGGACATCAATCATCAAATACAATCCCAAAAACTAGACTGCAATCGGAGTATCAGCAAATTTCATAAACCCCGCAAATTTTACAAAATATTTCAACTACTTAAATAATAATAAGTAGGCTATAAATAATGGAAAAGGAATTACCTAACTCTGGATGGTCCCTCTGTTACCGCTGCTGTTGTTGTAGTTGGTAACGCTTCTATTTGTGAATAAGGTCTATTCATAGGTATTGTAGTGTTTGATGTAACAGCATATGTGGCCAAATCAGAGATAGGTCTAGTATTTTCAGGATTCCAGTCATTCATATGCGGATTTTGATGACATCCATGATTGGTTGAAATTTTATGCACTGGTTTTGAATATGATTTAGAAGTACCATCAATCCCCATAACTGAGTTAGCTTGAGAAGTTGTTAAACCTTCTTTGCAGTGTTTATTCTGAGAACTAGAACCCAGAGATTTTTCAACGGGTATTGCATTCCTTACTGTTAGAAGTTCAGACATCTGTTTGTTATCTATATGTGTAGTGCTGCTACTGATATTTTCTGGTTGTTCAACAGATTTAATCCGATTATATTTACGTAGTTTCTTTGAAGTAATTATCTAATCGTAAAGTTATGAGATCTATCAATTACTAAATGATTCATTGAGATGATGATACTAAAACAAAATGTCATCATTATCTATTTTAAAATCATCCATATTTTAAGTTTTTCGCATCTTTTAGCCTTCATAACACTAAGTGAAGAGATTTTACTGACTTGTGAGGTAAAGTGATCCCAAAAGGCTTCATTTATCTAATTGTGATTGCAAAAACATTCTTTGTGCAATATAAAATAATCCATTTATTGGTTTTCGAATAAATCATCTAGCTCATAGAACTCAGCATCACCAAGATTATCCTCCTGAGCTACAAACATTCACCATCACACTGATTTCATTTTGTTTGGGATTCATCAGCTCAATATATATACCACCTAGTAAATGATGTTGTTCCTACTGAGATAGCGCTTTATCGATTCAATTTAATCAACGATAGAAAACCATACACACACACACATTATGGCATTAAATCATTTTGTTCTGAAAGCCTTAAAATGATTGTTTAACTATGCTTATCTGTTTGGAAGCTTGAACCATTGTAACTTGAGTTTATCTATCTACTAACTACACCTGTTTTGGAGATTTAAGCTACAACAATACATAACATTGAAAATGATAGGATATGCCTAGTCAATACTACTGATTTTCTGGATACTACCTTCATTTATCATTGTACAACATCCTTCTGGAGCTATCAGACACACTGATGCATACATTAGACTATTGAAATAGTTATTCATGAATAAGAACAAGATATACATATATCAACGAAGAAGAAGCATTTCTTTTCAACGACTTCATTATCAAGCTGTACAGTGATATTTATACTCGATAAGATGACAGATAATTGTACTAAAAAGAGATCTGCTCAGTCATTATCCAAAGTATGCAACACATAGATGTAGGCGGTGGGATTTGTTCAAGTCACTGAATAAAGAACGAATTGACAGCAAATGGTGAAATAAGAAACACGTGTTGTCAATGATTTGTAAAATGGTGATAATTTAACTGAAGTATGCAAAATAGGTCAATGAATAAGAAATGAACTGATGATATTAAATAGTGAAATATAGGTGAAATGTGTTGTCAATGAAGTGAAAATTGGTGATAATGATGATGATGATGATGATGATGATGATGATGATGATGATGATGATGATGATGATGATGATGATGATGATGATGATGATGATGATGATGAAAGTGAAATATACCAGAGTGAAGTGAAATGAAACTGACAAAAGCAACCAAAAGTGAATTATTAAGGCCAAGGTGGAGGGAAGCTGAGTGATGCCTTCAAAGTGAAGACAAGGCTCCCAACCTACTATCACCTATGATACTCCTGATTGTAGTGGACTGGATCACGCAACAAACAGTGAGGAGTGAGAAAAGGGAGATACGCTGGACCGGGGAAAAGAACCTACAAGATCTGGATTTCACCAACGATGACTTGTGTCTAATGTCACACAACTTGAAGATCTGCACGCAAAATCCAACAAGTTGACAGAAGAGGCGAGACAGCGAAGACGGGACTTCAAGTGAACGTAGAGAAGACAGAGGTTATGAAGATACCAAACCAACACCACCACCACCAACAACAACAAGCTCCAATCACCATCAACGTGAGAAACTTAAAGGAAGTAGTCTCTTTTACCCACCCTCCTAGGCAGCACTGTTTCAACTACAGGTGGCACAGACGAGGACGTTAAAGCAAGCCAGAATCGGAAAGACAGCAAGACAGGCGTTCATCAACATGAAACCAGTTTGGAGATCTTCTGCACCCAGCATAAAGCGTGAACAACACCCCGATTTTCAACACCAACGGAAGGCATTTCCAACAAACTACAGACATTCATCAACAACTGCCACCTACGCTGGCTCGTTACTGACGATCAGAAGGCCAGAAAGAATAAGCAACAAGGAACTCTGAGGACGAACCAACGAAGCAAGAACCTATTGCTCAACAAATATACGGAAGGAAGTGCAGGTGGATTGAGCATGCATTGAGAAGACCATTCGAGGACATCATGCACCAGGCCAGGCACTCGAGTGGAACCGAAATGGGAAACGACGAGTTGGGCGTCTGAGCCGAGGGTGACATGGAGGAGATGGTTTGAGGAAGAAATGAGAGCTTATGGGCCGTTGTGGAGCAAGGTCAAAAAGATTGCAAAGAGAGTGGAATGGAAACGTGCTACTGAAGCCCTATTTTCCACTAGGAACCTAAGGGACAAATTATAATAATGGATAACAAATATTTTCAAGAAGTGGAACATTGCCAAGTTTTCGTAAATATCCATATATGTGTATGCAACAAGAGGCAGTGGATTTTGTTTGGTCAGGCTGTATTTTTGTATGACCTAGATCCACTCTGAATCAGCCAATCACATGTTAGAGAATAGATGGTAAGATATCATAAGAAAATGACTAGGTTCGACTGACTGCATTTTACTGCACAATAAATCACAGTTTGTCTATCTCTTTTACACACAAATCGTTCAGAGTCTAAAAGTGTATGTCAGTTGCAAATGTGATCTGTATTTTTGATTGAATTGCAAAAGGAATTCAAACTGTTCATTCACCATGCGTTATTCAATGCGAAGTTATTTTTAAACATTAAGCTTCCTTAATTTAGTGATAGCTACTTTTAAGAATACATAAAAGTGGTATATATATAGCAGCGTTGAAAGTGATAACAATGGATTATTGAGAAATCAAGCAAAAAGGACATAATACTGGATGGGAATACAAAGCATAAGAAATGAGTACGATGACATTCAGAACAAGAGATAATTTTGTAAAAGGGATAAATTATTGCTAGATATAGGAATTTTACCATTACCTATCATCTAACATCCATGGTTCTTTGTTTGAGATAATTCATTGAATTTAAGTTCCAGTTCCAAAACAGTCAAGGAGAATTTAGAAATTTTAAAAACAAGTGAAAAGGCAGCTAATCCTCATTACCTTACATGCTGAAATCTTGATATCATCTCAGTGTGTATTTTGATTGGGTTAACGCCGATATGTTAGCTGGTCACAGATTTTCTTGATTGCCAAGTTCCTACAAATCCCAAAGGTCTTAAGGTTGTCTAACTACCTATACAAATAGGGAGCTGTTGCTATTCCTTTTGTTTTAATTATATGACTAACCAATCAGTGAATCAAAAAACTCACAAGATTGTCTAAAAGGTATGGCAAAGCCAGAATAACTTCCAAAGTCGCCCTAACAACTGGTAAGATAATTAAGTACGTTTTTTTCACTTTACATAAAACGACCTGCCTAGCTGGGATAGTGAAACATGATTGGTCATTTCAGTAGTTGCTTGGATCCCCTTTGGAGTCATTCCATGCAACAACAACACTTCAAAGAGTGTATTTGCACTTAGGATGGATAATCATCAAGCCCCGAAAAGTTTACTCCTCTTAATTTACGACTCCCCAAAAGTTCACACTCATAACCCCATTGTGATATCATACCAAGAACTGCCTAAGTGTAGGGTGTGCTACTATTCAACCACTGGGTCAAAATCCAATGATCGGGTCAGGTTGATTCATAGCGTAAACCAATTTACAAGAAATATCAGTTCCTTACAAACCTTGAAACAGGATCTGGTTAGTTGCAACATTCTGAATAGGGATTTTATGATTAATGCTACTCCTTTTTGAAACTCATCTAGCTCACACATTTGTCAGTCTATATAGAGACTACATAGATAAATTTAACATCTTGATCAACTACTTTTCTATCAGATCACAACCGTCTGTATATGACTGTCAACATCTGCATTCACAATGTGAAGCCTAGAGATGTCATTTATGTACAACCAGCTAACATATTGTTGTACCAGTCAAAGAGTGGAAAAAATGAATTCCAGATAAGTATTGTTGGCAGTTTCTTTTAAAAGTCGTTTCACTTGTGGCTTAATTTTTAACATCATTGTGTAGCTCGGTTCAAGAGCTTTTGATTGACTCCATATGTGTTTAAGCATGACTTATAGTTTGGAAATAATTACATGTTAAGTGAATTCCATCAGTTTTTGAGTATTGTCCAGTTTTCATGGTTGAAATCGGTTGTCACCTTTATAAATTATGATGCGTTGCGGTCAAGTAATCAAGTTTTGTATATATACAGTTGAATCAGATTCCGTGAAATACATACACTGACAGTAAACATCAAACTGTGTTCTGTTGTAAGTAGTTGGATTGGAAGGCCGAACTGTATGACTCATTGTATATGTGAACTGATCATACACGGTTGGGCAGATATATGGAGACCAATCACGTTCAAGTTCAGCGTTAAGACTGAATAAGTGGATCATGTGCTTAAGACAATTGCAGTCAGACAAAGTTATCGAAAATTGGTGAATGAGTTAACCGAGGAATATAACACATCCATATTTGGAAGATATCTAAGTAAGACCCGTGATTTTGAAGATGTGTGAGTAGTAGTGTAGTGGGCGTTGCTGATAACAACAGATATAATTAGTATATATCTAGAGGGTGGCAGGAATCATAGGGAATTACCGGCAATAGGTAAGGTTTCCGCCAAGAGCAACGCAGGGGACAATACAGGCGTCTTACAGGGGGTGTTGCTGATAAGAGTGTATGAAGAGCCGGTCAATAGCAAATCAAGACAAGAACGGAGAGGAAACGAAGACATTTGCAGATGGCTGCGTTAGTGCAGGGTGTACCATATGTAACCACTACCATTCCAATTGTTCGTAATAAACTTTCTCTCGTTGAGTTGTCTTCTGTTCCTTCAGTAGTAGTAGTGGTGGCAGTAGTAGTAATAGAAGTAGTGTGAGTAGTGGTGGTGGTGGTGATAGTAGTAGTAGTGTGAGTAGTAGTGGTGGCAGTAGTAGAAGTAGTGTGAGTAGTGGTGGTGGTGGTGATAGTAGTAGTAGTAGTGAGAGTAGTGGTGGTGGTAGTAGAAGTGTGAATAGTAATAGTAGTAACAGTAGTAGTGTAGTAGTAGAAGTAGTAATAGTGTGAGTAGTAGTAGTGTGAGTAGTAGTATGGAGCCATGAAACTTTAAGAGCCAAATGAAAATACATATGAATAGATGAATAAAAAGAAAATCTTATCATCTGAAGGTAACACTCTCTTCTGTTTCATTTGAATGTTCTTTATACTGTGTAAATATTTCATTGTCACGCTAGACATCATAATCAGTGCAGTTGAACTTCATCACCCTGAAAAAATATTGACAACTATGTCTAACAACAAAAAAAATGCTTAAATATTTGCCAACTAAAATCATAATTGAGAGAACAATTCAGCATGAATATACACTTTGTGAAATAAATAAATAATATTTTATGAAATTTCTTTCATTTTAATTACTTGATACAAACGATTACGATATTCCGTTACAGTGAGTTGAATATTATCATCCAATGGTGGAACAACATGATGAGTTTTACTCATAATTTCTTCTGGATTAAAAAATCTGCAAAACAATAAATAAATACCGAAAAACAAACAAACAAACAAGGCATATTTAAAAAAATAGTTTTGTGTAGTCAACATGTTGTGAGGGGTTAATTAAAGTTGAATTTACGATAAGTTTTCAAGTATTACTTGTTCTTTCAATTTTTCTTGTCAGAATCTCAATGAATTTTCACCATCCTCATTTAACTTACACTTACACACATACAAACATACAAGTATATCTCTCTCTATGCTCTATGCATGTTGCTGAACAGAATGGATATAAGTAGTCAATGTTAAAAGGGTGGCAGAAATCATAGGCAATTACCAGCAATGGGCAAACATTCTGTCTAGATAAATACAAGAGACAATGTGAGCGTATTGAGAGGAAATCAAGATAGAAACAGAAGAGGAAATGAAACACATTATGCAAATGGACTGTCTTAGCGGAAGGTGCACCATATTTACTGACTACTGTACAAGATGTCAATAAGGAACATTCCTTCTTTCGTCTTCATCCTGTCGTTTTCTACAAATTTACCTGAATAAATATGTTGATAGACTATGAAAAACTTTTACAGGATTGATGCAGACCTGAATATCCATTTATTCATGATGATAAACTGCTGGTAACAACTGAAATCTTCGAACAATAATGCAGACGGGATTATTCTCTGTATGATTATATTTTATCGTGTCATTCGCTGTTCTCAGCTAACAGTGATACCATATTAACCTCGCCTGCTTAACTAGTTCACCAGTTACTATTCAGTCCTAAGCCCAGAAAAAGAGGGAAGGTTGGGCATAGGGCTAGCAACCCTAACCCGTAAAACTAATCTGACCGCTACAGAAACGTTAAAGCACAGACAAAATATAAAAAATAAGAACAAACTGATTCCTCGCCGGAGTCGGAGAGACTAAATCACGCCGTTTAGTGTAAGCCTTCAGGAAGCCAATTGGCCGATGTGTATTCTCTCGATGAGACTGAAAGCAAACGTGGGGACATGAAATGTCCGAACCATGCATGAGTCTAGCAAGGCTACCCAGATGGCAAAAGAGATGAGAAGGTATGGATGACATAGAAGTGCTAGGAATCTGGGAGGAATCTTCAGATGGAGTGGAAGTAGAATCTCAAAACTGTCAACTGAAGAGTCAATTATCTACTTCCATATTGTCACCCACACGACAAACACGAGCAAACTGAGTTTCGGAGTGGCTATCATGACGTCCCCAACAGCATCGAAAGCTGTCTCTCATACAGTGGGAACCAATCTCCTCCTTCAGGATCAGGATCATGACAGCAAGATGGATTCAACTCGAAGGGAAGGAAAGTCACAATCATACAATGCCACACTACGTTACACACCTACAAATAATGCAGATGAAGAGAAGAAGGAGGAGGAGGAGGAATTCTATAGACAACTGCAATCAGTACTAGACAGGATTCCACTCCAGTTGGCGTCATCGAAATTCTAATGAATGATATGAATGGCAAACTGCTGGGAGCGGAAAACATAGGAGGAGAACTGATCATGGGTAGAGAAGCACTCGGTGAAACGATGAAGGAGAATGGAGAACTGTTTGCAGATTTCTGCTCATTCAACGATTTGGTGATTGGAGTCAGGCAGTGTGTACAAACACAAGGCTATTCACAAAGCGAGCGACATGGACTTCACGAGATGGACACACTACACTGAAAATCACATCGACTTCATCTCGATGTGAAGAAAGTGGAGACGCAGCCTACTGGACACTAGACCAGGTCAAGAAGGGTGGAAGAGGTAGGCCCCTGTCATCAGATTATCTAGTCCAAGGAAGCTACCTTCGAAATCAAGTTGAAAGCCTTCAAGGAAGTTTGTGATAGACCACAGTTGAAGTTGAACACCCAGAACAGAAAATGAACTGAGGAATGAAACTACAAATGACATCTTCAGGTCAGTTATGAGAACAAAATGGGAGACATTGAGCAACATCCCTGAAGGAAGCTGAGTTGAAGAACACTGGAGGTCTTTGAAAGCTATGTGGAAAGAAACCTGCATAACCGTATTGGGAAGGAAGAGGGAAGAAGATAAGGAATGGATCTCGATGGACATATGGAAGCTGATAGAGGAGGGAGTGGAGGATGGTGATGCAGAAGATGAACCAGTGCACGGATGAACAACGAGAAGAGGAACTGAAGACTATGAATAAGACACTAGTGTGAACAGAGAAGTGAAGAAGAGTGAGCACAAAGACAAAAGACAATTCTACGACACAAATTGACGAGTGAAGCAGAACAAGCTGCTGGTAGGAGCGACAGAGACCTGACAACATTATATGAAAATACCAGGTTATTATCTTAGGAGGGAAGAGATCAACTCGGATGAAACCAATGAAGGATAGTGAAGGAAACTTAGTTACCACGAAAGAAGAGAAACAAAGGAAGCAGTGGACTGACCACTTCAAAAAACTCTTGAATCGACCACCACCACAGTCACCGCCACCACCTGCAGCTTGTCCTGAAATATGACCAGCAACTGCAGAAATGTCAGTAAACACAAGCCCCTCAACAAAGCCAGAAGTCCTGAATGCCACAAAATTAAATTAAGTCGAAATAGCTGTCCAGTGTTCGCATCGTTCTCAATCATTCTCCAATTGATTTGAATCCATGGTGTATACCACCTTCATATGAAACATCTTGACTAGTGGTTGTATATACAATCAGATTTTTTCCTTAAATGTTTATCAAGTATATCATTATTTTTCCCGTGGGTTCCTAGTGGAACATAGAGATACAGTAGCACGTCCCCATTGCACTCTCTTATTTACAGTCTTTTCAATCTGGCTCCACCAATGCCCACAAGCTTTCATTTCTTCCTCACATGATCTCCTCGATGCCACCCTCAGCTGGGACGCCCAACTAGTCGTTTCCCATTCGGACTCCACTCGAAGGTCTGGCGTGGTGCGTGACGTTCCCAATCAATCTTCTCAGTGTATGTCCAATCCATCTCCACTTTCTTCTATTACATATTTGTTGGGCGATAGGTGGTTGGTTGGTTGGTTCGTTGCCAGCTAGAGTTCCTTGTTGCATATTCTTATTATTCTGGCCATCTGCTCTGATCTTCAGTATCGAGCCAGCATAGGCAGCTGTTGATGTGATGTCTGTAGTTTTCTGGAAGTGCTTTACGGAACGCTCCAAGTTTCTGAACCATATAGAAGCACTGACTTGACATTGGTGTTGAAAACCTGATCTTGTTCTATGTGCTGAGTCCAATAGATCTCCACACTGATTTCATGTCAATGAAAGCCTGTCTTCCTGTCTTTCCGATCCTGGCTTTGAGATTCTCATCTGTTCTGCCTGTAGTTGGGATGATGCTGCCCAGGTAGGTGGTAGATTAAAGAGACTTCTTCTTTTAGGTTTCTCCCATTAATGGTGATTGGTGCTTGTTTCTGATGCTGTTGTTCATTGGGTATCTTCATCACCTTCGTCTTGTTTATATTCACTTGAAGTCCCGTCTTCGCTGCCCTGCCTCTTCTGTCAACTTGTTAGTTTTTTCGCTTGTAGATCTTCGAGTTTGTGCTACATTAAACATAAATCATCAGTGAAATCCAAATCTCCAAGGTTCTTTCCATCAGTCTAGTGTATTCCCATCTTCTCACTCCTCACGATTTGCTTCATGATCCAGCCGACCACAACCAGGGAGATCATGGGTGATAATAGACAGTAACCTTGTCTTACTCTTGTCGGTCTTTACTTCAAAGGCATCACTTAGCTTTCCATTGTCAATTACTTGGCACATAGCGTCGTCATATAGTTGTTGAATAAGGATGATAAAGATTTGTGGCACTTCGTAGTGTTAAGCCAATCGCCAAATTACTTGTTTATCAAGTTAACACATTACATTTCTGAAATAAATCATATCCTCTAAATGAACAATACAAATATACAAAAACAAAACAGATTGATTACTTAAAAATTAATTTTCATCAATAACTAATGTAATTATCAATTACTTTCGAACATATGGATGCTTGAGTGCATGTAGAGCATCAATTCGTTTATGTGGATTAAAGTTAATCATCTGATTGAGTAGATCCATTACTGTTTTATTCGTATTCTTTATTACTTGATCCAATGGACGACGTCTTATTTAAGAATACAAAAAAAAGACAATGAAAGTATTGAAATGATGGAGAATATTTTTAGCTTAGCTGGATCATCTTGGTTGTATTGTGTTCTCTAAGTTAGTTGGGTTGTTTACTCGTGAAGCTTTCATTGTCTTTCTAGACAGTGACACCATCAGCACTAACTTCAGTATGAAGTGAGCTGTCAATATCTCTCCATCAGTGAGTGATTTAGTAGACTGCCTTGACCAACTGGTCTGTGATTGGTTGTTTCCTTCGATTGTTGTGTCACTGATTATATAGACTTTCCTGTTGACTGTTCTTCTGCTTCACCTCTGACCTTTCTGTCGTTCATCATTTCTCTTATTGGTTGGTAGATTGGGTCTCTCATGTCTATACATCTATTGATGGTTGGCTGACTGACCTGAATGTCAAGCTTCTAGAAATTCTCTGATATTCTTTGTGTTTCCTCTCTCCCTCCAAAATTTCTACATTGTCGAAATTGAATTCATGTCCATAGTTGTTATCTAAGTGTATTGAAATGAGTAATGAAATGTCGTGTGTGACATTTAATAGCCAATTGTTGTTCATGTAGAGGAAGGTGAAGAGGGTGACCACTTTGTCCAATGTAGTGCTGACTACAGTTACCTATTGCAGTTGATTTTGTAAATGATATTCGGTTTGTCTTGGCTGGTTGTTGCATCCTTTGGCCTGCATAATAGTGTTTGGAGGGAATTTGTTGGTTCATGAGCCACACCAATTCCAAGCGGTCTCAGCAATCTTGTCATGATTTCTGATATATTCTTTATGTATGGTAGGACTATGCGTTTATTGATTTCTGTCGATGACCTTGTAGTTGGTGATGCACGGGATAGGCATCTTCTGATAAAGTCTCGTGGGTAGTCGTTCTTCTTTAGAGTGGACATCAAGTAATTTTCTTTGTTTCTCCGTGGAGTTGTTGTGTTGCAGTGTGTTCTCGCTCTTTTGAATAGAGTCTGCACGCAACTGATTTTGTGTGTTGTTGGGTTGTTACTATTGTAGTTGAGGATTTGGTCAGTATATGTTGGCTCCCTGTACACCTGGGTTTCCAGCTTTCTGGCATTTGTCCTGCTGACTAAAACATCTAGGAATGGTAGTTGGTTGTTTGACTCTTTCTCCATTGTGAATTTAGTGTCATTGAAAACCTTGTTGATCAAACTGTAAGTGTTTTCTACATCATCTTCTTTGACTGATGACAAAAGTGTCGTCTACATAACGGATCCAGATTTTTGGTTTGATCACAGGTAGAATAATGGCTTCCACTCTCTGCATCACTGCTTCTGCTATTAATCCGGAAATCGATGATCCCATTGGAGTTCCTTTCATCTGTTTGTATATCTTGTAGTTGAATTGGAAGTATGTTGTCATACAAAGGTCGATGATGTCGTCTAGCAAGACGATGAAAGCTTCTTCACGATTAAACAACCCAGCCAGCTCAAAGAACACAATACAACCAAGACAATGAAAGTATTAGATAATATCAAGGTTAAAATGTAAACCATTTGAAACTAAGAATGGAAATACTTGTAGTTCACCTTCCTGGCACCAAAATACAACTAAGGTTAAAATAAATAGATTAAATTAACGAAATAAACCTCTAAATCGCCTGTGGATGTCTTAGGTGTTTTTTTGAAGTTTTGTTTTAACGAGCATCCATCCAAGCAGGCTTTGGCATCATTTTGCACTCCGTTTGTATTGGTTAGCACGCACCTACTCAGAGTTCCTAGTTCAGCTATACTAGCCAGATAAGTTGAATAAACTTTTTACCTATTCATTACTATTACATTTATTCCTTCTCACTAGGTCGGAACACCTCAGAGGACATAGGTAGGAGAGTAAAAAAGCAAAGAACCAGCATAGTCTCTCCCCCCAGAATACTGGTTCTCACGTCGAGTAACCGACGCCCGAAATCGACTCGCAGAAGAAGTGTAGTCGGCATCATCAATTGACTCGTTCAAAAGGGGATTGGACAAACACAGAAATCTACTGGAAAAAGATTAATATAACCTCCCAGCCTCCTATCCTCAAACAACAAATCTGAATCTACTTCTTCGAATATATTCCTGTAATCAGTTCTTTTCATTTGTCATCAAGTTAAGTAGAGTTGGTCAAACGTTACGGAATAGTAATACAACTCCCTATATACTCTCTGTAAAAGTTGAAATCTGTATAATCAAGTGTGAACTTATAAAGGTGTTCAGGCTAAACTATATCAATACATTGAATATTCCCATTTAGACATTTCGGTAAAAGACTGATTGAGAGAGTGAAGAAATCATATTCTTTTTCAATTACATCTTCATCTTGGGTTCTACACTAGTATATAGAAGGGGGGAGGTTACAATTTAATTGAATTACCAATCAAGTGGTGGGGTAGTTGGTTAACAATAACCATCGAGATTTTAAGTAAGTTATGAATATGATGTCTTAGAGATTAAGATGTAAATAATCAATAGAGTAATTGAAATTGGTAGCAGGAGTTATTCTTAGGTAAAAATGGAGTGATTTTTTATGAGTGTTCAGTCATTCACAATAAGTGATTACGTAACAGTTGGAAAACAAATGAATAATGACAGAAACAAGAACGGAAGAAGTGTACTAAGTAATCCTAGAATTTACATCATGTTGACGGCCACGGTAATGAAAGTTGCCAAAGAAACGTCTTTTGAATACAAAGGTTAAATTTATTTATAAAGGGGGATTGAAATCGCCTCTGCTATGTGCAGGAAGCAAGTGCGTAATCCATGTGGTAAGTTAATTGGAGGTAATGATTAATTTCAAAAGCTTTCCCAGTATCCACTTGATGTCCTGTGCCAACTAGGTGTGCAGGTATGGAGCTCTTTATTATTCTGATTTGTCCCTTGCTCAACCATGATGGTTGGTGCTCAAAAATCCTACAATAGAACTGCCTCATTGTGAGCTCAACATAACCAGTTCCACAAGAGCAGTTGAGTTGATAATATGCACATAGAAGTGGCAGAATGCAGCCGTTTGTCTTTATTTCTCGCACCTAGAATCACGCGGTTGTGGAAAATGGTACATAATTTAGTGGCTGGGAAGGCTTTACGCAAGACGCTTTTTATACGCTGTATGATAATCTCACTGGTGTTGTCACTCTTGAATTTCAGCTCCAAGAAGATTCGCTTCTTAGGAACCGTTGGCGCTCTTGTCTTAACTCGCATAATATTCATCTGCTTAGTTACAAACATGTCTGGGTAGTCATCCCATCTAAGCAGATCATGGTTGGTAGCGCAGTCTTCCTTCATAGCATCATCTAAGCAAACAGCTGTGCCACGGTATGCTATGTATTTCACCAAGTTCCTTTTGTACTGGAGGCGTACGGCACTAGAGAAGTGCGTGTATTGACTTGCTGAAGTTGGTTTTCCATATACACTTCGTTTCAGAGTTCCATCTAACCTTATTGCCAACAGAACATCAAGAAATGGGATACTGTCATTTTTCTCTTCTTCCATTGTGAAGTTGATTGTCGGATGAACACTATTGAACTTATTCAGAACAGCATTCTTATCAATCTCACTTTTGAGAACTATAAAGGTATCATCCATGTAACGACAATATAACCCTAAACGGCCAACAGTTTCATTCAGTGGACCATTATTTAGTTCTGCCAGAGAAAAATCTGCTAAGAGCAGGCCAAGGGGTAACCCCATAGCTACACCATCAGGCTGCCTGTAAAGTTCATTGTTCATCATCACATGATTGGTAATTTGATTAAATTGTAAACCCCATATATATATATATATCAGTGTAGAGCCCAAGATGAAGACGTAATTGAAAAAGAATATGATTTCTTCACTTGCTCAATTAGTCTTCTTTTAAACTACATCAGTTAGTTGGAGGCAATCTGGAGAAAATTGTGCTACTACGTTGCCTGATTGTTGGTACTCGTCACCAAAGTGTATCTGCAACCTCGAGGAAACTGACTTACCCTCTGAGATTTGAAATTCCGTCATCCAGCATTGTAACCAATGAGATTTCCACTGAGCACCTATATGACTGGATTACATACATTGATGAGTCACTGGAGAGCAACCAGTTCCACTTTGTATAGTCGCGAATACCAACCAAATTATATTGATCATTTTGCAATGTGGTCACTAGGCTTACCATTTCGGTGCACTTAGATGGGTGATGACATGAAGTCAATCGTTACCCGAACAACTTAATGGTGATGCGGATTTGAATCTCACAAGGAACATCAATTTCCTCTATGTTGCAGACACCCTTAGCTGACAAGTTTCGACCAGAAGGAATGATAGTTATAAAGCTTCTTGCTGATTTCCCTCAATCAACTAACATGTATCAAAGTGAATCAAGATGGTAAATCTTCTAGCTTGGTTGGCACATAGGAAAATGGCCGATAGAGTTCGGTTAGCAGTCACTTGCTGCTCCCCAGTAACCAATCAATGTAGGCTAAACTATACAAGTTACAACCAGTCAATTTGTCAGCAATATCCTAGAACCCCTTTAATCTAAAGTGAATTAGTATTTTTTTAATGGGGGTCTTCCCCAATGGAGACAGATGTGAATTGATGTTATAAGAATGTATAGCCTTGAGAATAAAATCCAATGAAACTCCATATTTTATATTGCCTACATGTGGTGTGTGTGTGTTGAAGTCTTGATTTTGATATCATAATGTAATTTCAAATTATCATAGCCCAGTAGCCTAGTCGATGGCGCCTGTGCATTTGAAGAGAACAGTGATAGGAGTCAGTCTCAGTGAGAAAACCACCACTCGCTAGTTTACAGGTACACCAAGCTGACGAGTCTCAGATAGACCGAAACGTGCCTACTGGAGTTCGCTGGACAGTCTTCATTTGATTATGAAAGAATCATTGGTGAATAACCTAAGCTGATGGTAGGTATAGTGGAAATTTCAGGTTTCTGTTCGTTATGGATTGTGGGATTCCTACGACTGGCTCGATGGTAACGTACTGGGCGGGGCGCCTGAAGGTTCT